TTTTTAAGCATAACTTTTGCCATGGGTGCAAGTTTAGGGTCTATATGGGCTTTAGTTATTGTGTGCTCAATTTTCAAGACACTAGCAAAATACAAATTTGCAGTAGGATATTCTGAACCAGACAATAACACAGTGATTTCATAAAATGGCTTTAGGAAATTACATATTTTTGCAAGGGTATCCCATTCATCATCCGAAAGTTTGAATTCATAACCCATAAACTTATCGATAACCACTTTCAAGGCTTCCTTTGCTTCTAAAGCTTTTCGGAGCATCGTATAGGTGGCATTCCAACGAGTCACAACATCAAGACGTAACTTACCATTAAACACACAATTAGCCTCAGAAAGAGCATGCTCAAATTGAGTAAGCCTAGAGTCCGAAGAATCAATATATTTACAAACTTCACGTAATTTTTGAACACTACTATCAACTTCTTTCAAACCTCTTTGAACAATAATGTTCAACACATGAGCTGAACATCGAATATGAAAAAATTTACCATTACAAGGAAGAGGAGAAGTCAACATTAAATCTTTCTTCAAAAGATTAACCATGACATCCATGGATCGAGCATTATCAACAGTAATTGCAACTCCCCAATAAGTTTAAACACAAAATTTTCTATCTCAACACCAGTATGAGGAGGACCACAATATCTAAAATTCAGAATTTTAGACCTTAGACACCAATTTTTGTCAACATAATGTGCAATTAAAGTGAGATAACCTCGATTAGTGCATGTTGTCCACAAGTCACAAGTGAAGCTAACTCTACCTTCAATTCCAGAAAAAGTTTGCAACAACAAGGACTTAAACTTATCATGCTCAACAATACAATTTCAAAATAGTGTTTCTACACACATGCTTCACATTAGGATTCAGATTCGTAAAAACTTCCCTAAGGCCATGATGCTCCACAATACTTAAAGGATAGGAATGCAAAATTATAGCTTTAGCAAGCAATTGTAAATGATGACGAGTTTGATTAAACAAAGGCTGAACACCACTTTCTTTATGTCCAGGATGATGTGGATGTTTTTTCATGCATGAGGTAGTATGAGCTTTACAAGTGGAGGTACCAGCCGTACCTGGTGCTTTATATTCATTACCGCAAACATTGCATCGGGCATATCTTATCAGAGCAACACCAACCAACTTATCAAAAAAGGTGTAATGCCTCCACACATCTGATGTTCGTTGACGCTTACTACCACTAGTGGTAGTGACTTGTTGTTGAGAAGAATCTTGATTCTGAACAGTGTCTTGAGAATCTATAGTATGCTCATCATAATTTCCAAACCCTTGCTCCATTACTAAAAAAACATAAACAAAACAACACATTTCATGGCAGAACAGCAGACATGGCAGAATAGAAGAGCAGTAGTCAGCAGACATCAGAACAACAAAGAACAGTCAGCAGTATAGAAGAGCAGCAGAATAGAAGAGCAGCAGGCATGGCAGAACAGCAGAACAGAACAACAGCAGAATAGAACAGCAGCAGCAGAACAGATTAGCAACAGAATAGAAGAGCAGCATTTGATGCATTATTATTTTAGCAACATTTGGGCCCAAACTTCAGTTTATAATAGACTAGTAATGTTCCTGGACATAATTTAATGGAATATATAGCATTCTTCAACACTTTCTGTCAATTTAATTCCTAATTCACTCTAATTTTCAATTCCTAAAACAATTAAACTTATATATCCTTATAAACAAAACCCCATTCTTCAACACTTTCAGTCAATTTATTCATTTATATATATAAAATCAACAACTTGGCCATCTTTTATATACTATTACTATCATCCATTCATCCCCAAATTTACATTTTCAATTGCCATACATTACATGAAATACATAAACAAAATATAAATAATAATAAAAAAAAACCCAATTCATACCAACAAAAAATATCAATTAAAATTGATGGAAACAAAAAATATCATGTGCCAATGACCATGATATATTATCGACAAGCTACTATACCTAAATAAATTAATGTTTGATTGCTAAGAATTGGAGTGCTTGCATGTGAATTATACATCAATTTAATTTGTTATATATATTTTGTATACTTCCTCCATTATAAAATGGTTAAATCATGTTACTAAGAATTTCATACCTGAATTCTACATCCTAGCTCAGATTCTACACTACAACATCGCAAGAAGTACGAGAAAGAGAGATTTCATACCTGAATTTGGAGATTTAGGGCAGCAACAACATCGATGAGAGAGAGGGAGATCAGGACAACTTCAAGGTTTGGTATTCTGGCAGCCGTGAATGAATGTATGAGGGAGACGGAGGCGCCGTGAGCCCGTGAGAATGAATGTTACGGAGAGGGAGATTTGAGAGGCGCCGTGAGCCCGTGAGAATAGAGTGAGAGTGGTAAAGTGAGAGTGAGAGTGAAAGGGTTTCAAAAGGTTTCATGTAAATCTAACCATCGATTTTTTAATCTATGGTTGAGAATGGTGATCTGTGTGTGTTGTGGGAGAAAGAATCTAACCATTGATTTTTTAATCTATTGTTGAGAGTGGTGATCCGTGTGTGTTGTGGGAGAAAGAATCTAACCATTGATTTTTTAATCTATGGTTGAGAGTGGTGATCCGTGTGTGTTTGTGTGTTGTATATTCATCTACAAAAATATTATTCCCTCAATTCTTAAGTATTTATTTACCCCATTTGATCGGGATCAGTGCCCAAGACACGTATTAAAACATCTACTAGTATATATCTTTATTTTCATACACGTAAAAATTATAAAAACGTTATATTAATAAAATGTATAAATAGATAAATTTAAAAAGATCACTCATGAGTCTATAACTTTGTACTAATACATACGAATAACGATGATACGAATATTTAACTATGAGATAGTTAGATGCCATGTGTTAAAATTGTGTACATATGATCGATTGAACTAATCAATATTACCTTGTTAATTAGTCATTACTGTTTTCTTTCATTATACAAATCAAAGTACTTTGTAATATCTTCATAATTTCATGAAAATATATAATGATAAACGAGTCATAACTATCAGTCTTGTTGACTAATCAATTATCGAATTACCAAATTGCAAATTTCCATTTCACAAGAATTCATCAAATCATGACTATGATACTACGCGTAGTATATAAATGATTAAATAAGAAGCATATAATAACCTAATTGTAAAACAATAATACATTAATACACTAACTCTTATAATCTACTTCGTAATAAACTAGTAAGATCAGTATGACTAAACTTGAAACAAAACATAATATGTATTTATAAAATCAAGGAGAATTTGTTTATAATATGATGCCTAAATATGAAATGATTCGCGACTTTATATAAAACTTGTGAACGCAAAAGGTTAGCAAGTACTATTAAATGATTCGCGTCAAGCTTGAAGTGGTGGAGTATGAGCTATGCCAAATATGCAAATTAGTTATGATTTTGATTGTAAAAGTTATGATATTTTCTCTAAATATGTGGTTTACAGATCCTTATTATTGTAGAAGCCGTATGGCTTTTATTTAATGATATTATTCTTCCCGTTCAAAAAAAAAAAAAGTACTATCAAATTTCAAACCAAAACCATTTAACTGCCCGAATCCAAACAACTCGATAAACAATTTATTTTTTGAAACCGAAAACCGACCCGAACCGTAATTTAGTAAACTTGAAATGGAACCGATCTGAATAACGTTAAACCATAGAAGAACCGAACCAATTATAAACTGAACCGAAAAAGAACCGATCCAGTTATAAACTGAACCGAAAAGAACCGAACCAGTTAAAAACTGGACCGAAAAAGAATAGACCAATTATAAACTGAACCAAAAAAGAACCGAACTGTTTCTAACCCGAAACCGTTTCCAACCCGAAACTGTTTGAACCGGGATAAAAACCGTTTACACCGCACCGTTAACAAACCGCAACCCGTCTGCACCGAACCGTTTATTACCCGGACTGTTTACAACCCGAAACCGAATTAAAACCGCTCAAGAATAAACCGAAACCGAATCGAACCGATAACTATTTAAACCGAACCAAAACCGACCCGTGAGACAATTAAACCGATTCCAAACCGACTCGATTTAATACCGAACCGATTTCAAACCGAACCGAAACCGAACTGTCAAACCGTTTTGACAGTGCTAGTTATTACGGTTGTCTACTCGTTGCATTACGAATGATATCTTGATTGTCTATTCTTTGGGCAACAAGCCAACAACTGATCACACCCTAAGATTATTAAAGTTGACTAATTAAACAATCTTTCATGGAAGTTTAATGCATGGAATAAAATAATACAACGATCAAGAGTATACTACTTGTATTCCATTATTTTATCCCAAGTCAAACGTTTTACGGAAAATTGTACCATCCAATAAGAAATTCAACTATTGATAAGCTACTTGAAAAAAATAAATAAAATTGAGTAGTTAACTATCACATAAGTGGATAACCATCTTACACATATTGACAGAATCACTGATTATTAATCAGTGGTAACTGTAAACAATATTACATTAGATTTTGCTTTACTTTTGTATATTGCCTAACTTAGTTGGTAAAGTCTTGAGATGTAATACTAAGCCGTTGTGTCTCTATATACAACCAAAAAAAAAAAAAAAATTGATATTGACATAGTATTAGTAAGTACTCCGTATACATTATGATTACGTGTACGTACATATAGTTATCTCCTTTGTTATGTCATTGTTATCATCTCCTCGTCACATAGTTTAAGGCCCGATTTATAAAATCCAGTCAAGTGCCTTAGATCGAAAATGTGACAATTTTTTCTCGGACATCTTAAATCAATATACTTTGTATTTGATTATTAAAGTCCTGATAGGGGGAGTCTTTGATTAAATTCTAGTTGCTTGTCAACAAAAAAAGTCTTACTGTCTTCAGATATTGTATTGCTATTGTTCTATTATGCATAAACTAGATGATTATTATTAAAGTACTTCCTCATATTTCATTCAATTCTATAAGCTAAAATGCATAATCTTCTGCTCTGTATTTTTCTTATGTTCAACATCTTCAATAACATTCTTGTTCTTGCTGATCCACCATACTGGAATTGCCCTGATGCTAACAGCAGCAACAACAGTACATCAGAAAGTTTTTTCCAGCAGAATGTTGACAGTCTTCTATTTTCAATCTCTTCAAATGCTTCTGTCTCTAAATTCTACAACACATCTTCCGGAAATGGTAGTGTTACATCATATGGGCTTTACCTTTGCTACGATTATGTCACACTCGAGACCTGCAGGACAAGCATGATCATGGCAACACAAGCAATGCGTAGACTTTGTCCGAATTCATCTGATGCAACAGTTTGGGGTGAGCAAAGTCTGCTTCATGTATCGAATCAAAGATTCTTCGGCCATTTAGATATGACAGGAAATATCAACAAGTATAACAAAAAATATGTATCAGAACCAGAGAAGTTTAGAACAGTTGTAAACACCAGTTTACATGAACTTGCTCTGAAGGCTGCTTATAATAATACTTCCTTGGATCATATGTACGCAACTCAGTCGACGCCTTTTTCAGGTGCACAGCATGTATATAGTCTTGTGCAATGTACTCTAGACCTGTCTCCAATCGATTGTCAACGATGTTTGCACAAGGGTATTGTAGATGTTCTTGGTTCAGAAAACTATAAATTTCGAGGTGGAAGACTTCTTAGTAAAAGTTGTTATCTAAGGTATGAGTTCTACGCTTTCTATGAAGGGGAAACGTCAGAAGATCCTGCAATTCAGGGCAAGTGTTCTGAATTTGTGTTCAGTTATACTTTGTTAAGTCAAGTAGCTCAATTTGTTTTTAACTTTGAGAGATTTTTTTGTTGCTAATGATTTTAGGTGAGAAATGGACAGCTCGTATTCTTTCGATTGGGTTGGCTTGTGCCCTGGCAACTCTTGTAGGATCTTGTGTGTTCTACATCATTCTAAGACGTAAAAGTCAAGGTAAGAGTTTATATTTTTTCTTGCAGTAAATATGCTCATTTTTTGTTCAGATAAAGCAGCAGCTTCATTATATGCAGCTACAAATTTTCGAGGAATGGACAGTCCTTTGTTTGATTTGGCAAGTATTCAAGCTGCCACAGAAAACTTCTCTGAAAAACACAAGCTAGGAGAAGGCGGTTTTGGTCCTGTCTTTAAGGTTAGCATACGAAAAAAGACAATATATTCTTGTTTTTACAGTCTGACATTTAAAAATTTTGGAACCGAATTAATTAAGTCTTTGCCCTTTGTTATCCACTCTATAGGGTGTCCTAAAAGACGGTACTAAAGTTGCTGTGAAACGACTCTCCAACACATCTGATCAAGGAACGGAAGAATTCAAAAATGAAGTTCTGCTAATCATGAAGCTTCAACATAAGAATCTTGTCAGACTGTTGGGATTCTGTGTAGATGGAGCTGAAAGGCTGCTTATCTATGAGCTTTTGTCTTCTGGTGACTTAGACTCTTGGCTTTATGGTACAACAACAAGAAAGATCTTTTAGTTCTTTAATTAAAGAAATTCAAAATTTTAGCATAACTAAGTTTGCTTGAAAATTTGTTTACTTCTGTTCTCATCTTAGATCCACAGAAGAGTGCACAACTTACATGGAGCAAACGGATTGAGATTATGAATGGGATTGCTCAAGGAATCCTGTATCTGCACGAGGATTCCCGACTAAAAATCATACACCGAGACTTAAAACCTGGAAATGTATTGTTGGACTCTGATCTGAATCCTAAGATTTCTGACTTTGGAAATGCCAGAATCTATGGAACAACAGAAAATGAAGCAAGCACTATTACAGTAATTGGTACATAGTGAGTTCTTTATCAACTTGACAATTCGATCTTGTTTTCCATTTTTTAATGGTTGTCTAGCAGTACTAGCTGTTGTTTACTAATGATGCTGCAATTAATAGTGGATATATGGCACCGGAGTATGCAATGGAAGGAATGTATTCTGTTAAATCTGATGTTTTCAGCTTCGGAATTATGCTGCTAGAGATGATAACAGGAAGAAAAAGCATTGGATTTCATTTTACTGGAAATGGTCCTAGCCTCCAAGCTTATGTAAGTGACCAAAATGTCCTGCTTCTTCTTACCTCTTTTTTTTTTTCTTTTTTTTTTTTTTTAAAAAAATTTTCATACTCAAAAGATTTTATCGAAAATGCAGGCATGGAAATTATGGATCCAAGGAAGGTGGAAAGAATTGATGGAGCCAATGTTAACAAGTAATGATTCGTGTGATGTCACTACCGAGTTCTTAAGATGCTTGCACATAGGATTACTATGTGTTCAAGAGGATCCGTCTGAACGCCCCACAATGTCATTCGTGGTTCACATGTTAAAACACGAAAATGTAAATCTGCACTCTCCAAAACAACCTGCCTTTACTGTTGGAAGGTTTGGTGATCACTATGAAACAAGTTCTAGAACACCAACCCCTTTAAGATGCTTTGCTCTTTCAGATATTTCAGCTCGATGATTCGTGATGCATTTGCTCACTGATATAGCTAGCTAGTCCTATATATGGCTTTAGTTAGTTAAATAGTTGACTCATAGATTAAGTGTACAATTTTTTGAAGCTATATTTCGTTAGACTGTTGAATGTAATTGGTGAGTGAATTTCTATGTAAATTGTAAAGAATTTTCTGTTAGATTGTATTAGTTGTTTCTTCTCAATTGTACAATCTTTGTCTGAAACTATATAAATATATCAGAAGGATGACTAAATCCTTATATAAAAATGAGAGTATCAAGTCTTGACCGCGATAGATTAGTAGCACAATATTTTCATGTCCTCAATGTATGGCTTCACTTCTATAAAAATACACGGAATGCATCATACAATAGGACAACAATTACGACACTTAGATTAAGAGATCGACGTCACTGCTTTTGTAAATGCAGTGCATCTACTTAGATTGAGCTAATGTGGAGTACTTCCCTGATGACTTTAAAACATTAGATTTAAATTTAACAAGGAAGATTTGACTTCAGAAATCTGACTGGTTCTGTTTTTCCAATTATTGTTTAAAACTGTCTTCATTAAACAAATACAAATTGATGTTATCCATTGTTTAAGCAAGCAACCATGTGCAGTTGGGCATCTTTAACAACAGGGCCACAATTATGTCGAAATCATTATTGTAACGAGTGCGAGAAAGATATAGCTTAATAAGTGGTTACAAACAGCAAAGAACAACATACGTACAGAATTTCTGTGGCTCACTGATAATGTGTTAGGTTGTTTGCCACATCCATTAGTAGAGAATGTAAAGTCTGAGAAATACAGATTACAACTTACACGACGACTAGAGTTTGTTTACAGGATTTTATCATACATCTCCTAAAAATCATAAAAATAATACATACAAATAATAAACTAGATAAAGCACAAAAATCATTGCATCCAGCTCAATTGGTATATAAAATATAACATTTCTGTGTTTTATGAAGGAATATGCTTAGTCAACTCTTTGAACATTTGATTTTATTTTCAATGCAGAATTAACAGCAACTTGAAAATTCGAGTGATTTTTTTTTTTACCAACTTCTAGGCAGCTGTTATCTTATCTGAAAGCTTAAAACCTTTATCTCTACTAAAGATGTAAATCCTTTTGACATTTCCTTAAATAAACATGAAGAATTGCGAAATACTATCAATTAATCTATTTTTGCTACTTTTGTATTTTCTGTCAGCAACTGTCTTTAGTGCAGATCATATATCTATTTCCTGTACTGAAAATGAAATCGGAAATTATACAGCAAATAGCCGGTTTGAACATAATCTTAGAACCCTCCTCGATTCTCTTCCTTCGAATACATCTATTTCAGGTTTTTACAATGGTTCTGCAGGGAGTGATCCTAACAAAGTATATGCTCAAGCACTTTGCAGGGGAGATGTGTCAGCATCTGATTGTGAACTTTGTGTTCAGATCGCAAGCTCTGAAATTTTCAGACAGTGTAAAGCAATAGAAGCAACAATATGGCTCGATTTATGTCAAGTTCGATTTATGTGAATGATGGTAATGGTTTCTCCTAAAGGTATTAAAACACCATCCCATATCCCCAATTTGTTTGACATAGTGGGTCGAATTAATGTTAATGAAGTGTTTGTTAAGCTGCATAATTTTAATTTTGAGTTCCCATAGTCTAGTAACACAAAACTTATTCCTAAGTTTCCGCAAGGAATTGTTGACCCAGAACCTATTCTAGACTTTAATGGACCAGTTTATGCCTTAGATGACAGTAGTTGAAAATTGAAATGGGATGTTACACTGATGGTCTTCAAATTTTTTACCTATTTTCTCCTCTGACCCATATTGACTTTTCTGTAGCAATTGGGAGGTCTGATTCCCACACTTGTGATAGGTATTCTGAAGTGACCTTAATGCCTGAAATTATGAAAGGAGAGTTAGCCTTTGATCTAGGTTCAAGATGTATTACATGGAATGCTAGGGGTGTTACTAGGCCGTCATTTGAGTCCAACTTTAAGAAGATGATGGATATTCACAATCCTGTTGTTGTCATTGTTACTGAGGTCCGTGTTTCTGAGATTAACTTTGGGAAACTAGCTGGAAGTTTAGGGGATCAATTGGGCTGGAATATTGATGAGAGTGTGGGATTGAAAGATGGGGTGATCTTTATGTGGGATAAGCGCAGGGCGGAAGAAGACGAAGTCATGGTGGTCGGTTCTGCTAGCTGCCCTCTTCGTGTTGTTGCCTTAATCAAGGTTATTGAAAGATGGCTCGATTTATTGTGAACTTTGTGTTCAGATCGCAAGCTCTGAAATTCTTGAATGTGTTCCAATATACTGTGATAATACAAGTGCTATTTGCATATCAAAAGATCCAGTACATCATTCACATGTAAAGCATATTCATGTTAGGCATCATTTTCTAAAAGACAATGTGGAAAAAGGCTCTATTAAATTAGAATTTATACAAACTGAATATCAAATTGCTGACATTCTAACAAAGCCTTTGAGTAGAGAAAAATTCGAAAAGATGCGATTGGAACTCGGAATGATAAAGCTGAATTGAGCAGTTCTTCTTGGAACCCCAAGGTATGTCTTAGTGAAACGACTGAGCATTGCTATATATAACCTTGGTGTGAAAAACATAATCTCGAATCTTGCAATGAAAGAGCGTGTAATTCTAATGAGTATGTGATCATATGATTATGTTGATGCAGAAGACAAATTGAGCCATATTATTTTCAAGTTCCTTTTATAAAGCTCTGTACATGTCAACCAGTATTTTACTTTGAAGTAACTTACTGAATTTTTTTTCTTTCGTAATTTTTATTTTTCTTTATTTTTATCTTTTTATTATTTTTGTTATCTTATAAATTTAAAAACAACAAAAAGATTTTTTTTCTCAATTAGATTTTATCTTATTTTTTTTATTTTATCTTTAATTTTTATCATTGTCAAAATAAATCACAACCTTACCTCTATCCCACTAAACTCTCAACCGTCACCTATCTTTTCACCTCACTTACCACACGCACCCACTCACCTCAAAAACCCCAATACACCAACCGTCACTTCCAACCTTCAAAGTTCCACCCACCTCTTCTATATTCCTGAAATTCACCCAACCATGAAAACCAACATCAATTCCAATCCTCTAGCACCAAGATCCAGACGGAACTCCACACCGGAGCTCCTTCCTCTAGCAATGGTAGTCACCTCCTTATCTCAAACACCAAAACGCAAGGCTACTCTACCCAAAGAAAAGCCCGGTAAAGCTAAAGTCCGTCGGACAGCACCACCATCGCAGAAAACCAAGGGCCAAAACGAAAAATACTTGATTGGCTATGCAATTAACTACTCCTGGTGTACGGATTGTAAGTTCTCCGAAATTTTAGAGCTATTGGATTATCAAAATTGGATTTACTTGTTGGATTCGTGTGCAAAATCTCCAATTTACCCTAAGTTGATGGATGAATTTTGCTCCTCTTTTGTTTGTGTTGATGGTGTATGTAGTGCTACGGTTAATGATGTAGCTATTGAGTTTGATGAAATCTCTTTGGCTAAGTGGTTCAAAACCCCAAATTTTGGCTATCGAACATATATAAAAAATAAGTCAAAAAATACCGTAGATGGCCACCCCGAAACTGAAATCATATCCTTTATTGGAGGAAACCCAAAAATTACCACCACCAACCACAATGTGCTTACCCCAATTCACAAATTGCTATTCAATTTAATTTGGCGAGGTATTCTTCCTCGTTCACAGAAAAGAAGCACTGTTACTCTTTTAGATGCCTCTCTTATATATTGTTTAGGCAACAAAGTCACTGTAAATTTCCCTGCCTTGATGATTGCACATCTAGACCATTGCATCCCTGATCTTCATATTCCTTATGGTCCCCTGCTCACTGTGATCTTTCAGAAATGTCAAGTTCCTCTAGGAACTGCTGAGAATTACCCCTTGAAACCCGAAAACATACTTTCTGAAAAATCTCTTCTCAAATTGAGCCTTAAAGTAGTTCGTGGAAAAGTATGTTTTGTAAAAGATGCAAATTCTGAGGGAGAGGGTGATCAAACTGAGGGGGAAGTGCAAGAGGGAGAAAACAGTGAGAAAAAGATAGAAAAAGAAGGAGAGGGAGAAGCAAAAGAACAAGAGAGTGAGAAAGAAGAGGAAACAGAGAGTGAAAAAGAGGAAGCAGGAGAAAAAGAAAAAGAGACAGACACAATAGAAAAAGAGAGTGAGAGTGAGAAGGAGGAAGAGGATGATCAAGAGGAATTAATGAAAGAGTTGCTTAAGGAAATTGGGGGCTCTGTCAAACACACTGCCCCTGTAACAGGCAGAAGAAGGAGAAGTATCAGACTTGCTACATCTAAACCCAGAACCCTGCAATCTGAGACTGTTATTGTTGAGTTGGATGATGTTTCAACCAAAGTTTCTGAAGGAACTTCCACCCAAGTTTCTGAAGGAACTTCCACCCAAGTTCCTCAGGGTCCCTCCTCATCTGTTCCAGAAGAAACTCCATCACCACCTCCAATTCCATCCCCAACTCCATCATCACCTTCTCCACCTGCTTCACAGCCTCGTACTTCTGGTCTCGGCTTCGGTGCTTTTAGCTCTAGTCCAAGTTCCTTGCAAATCCAGGAGGAACTTAAGCTTTTGTCCACTACACTTACACAGAGTATAACTACCCTTTCTTCTAAAGTGGATAACCTGGCTACTAAAGTTGAGGGGCTGCAAACTCAGATGCTTTCTCTGGAAGATAAAGTAAATGCTCATATGGACTCCTCAGCTCAGGAATTCAAAGCTAAAGTGAAGCAAAGTTGTTACAAGACCATTCTTGATGCGATCAAGGATGTTACCTTACCATGAAGCTGCTACCATTTCCTAGCCCTTTGCAAAACAAACCTACCCCACTTTTTCTTGTGATTTATTAAACACTGATATTGTCCTTCAATTTTATTTTGTTTGGTTTGTTTTGAACACTTTATTTTGTTTTTATTTCGGTTTGTATTAAACTGGCTAAGTTTGTCTTTGAATTTGATGTTTTAATTTTGGTTGCATATGAACTGTGTGCGCATGCTTAATCGTTCATGAATTCAGATTTACTAATCCCTCCGTAGTTTAGTACTATATATAGCATGCTCTCTCTATCATTTTGATAATGTCAAAAGGGGGAAGAGAAGAACAAACTCAAAAAGCCGGACTCAAACCGATTCCCTTCAAGTCTTCATCATTTAAGTAAAGTTATAAATTTCACAATTTATTATTTTCATGAATGATGCAGACTTCTTTAAACTTAGTTTGTTTTATTGCTTTAATAATTTTATTGTTTCACTTAGTTATTGGTTACTCTGATTGCCTGGATGATTATTTTTGTTTACCCGAGTTCGTTTTAGTTTGTCATCATCAAAAAGGGGGAATATTGTTGAATTGACCACCTTAATATTTTAATGATTGACTTACGTAAAACAAACTCTGACTAATGATGTTTATAAGTCTTGGTTGAACAGAAAGATTCAGGTATACGAATATATGTTCCGGAGTAGGAACAACAGAGTTTGGAAGACTTGATGATGAATGCAAGCTTTCAAGATGTCCTCACAACTCTAGTATACTTAGTTATTCAGTGCATGAACTTAAGAAACAAAAGTGTTGGAAGGAACTCATGAGAAACTCAAAGTTCCTGATGGAATCTGGAATTCTTGAAGGAACTTGACTGATGCTCAGAAAAGTGTTTAAACGATGGTTTTCAAAAACAGTTTTCATATCCCTTAATTTAAGGAAAAGATAAAATCAGTTTTGAAAAAGATTTATTTTATAAATAAATAAAATCAAAATAATTCATTAATTTAAAAGATAAGTTTTTAAATTAATTAATTATTTAGTTATCTTTTAATTAATAAACAATTATCTTTTTTAATTAATAAATAATTATCTTTTTAAATCCTTAACTGATTTTTGACTTAGTAAAAATAACTGTTTACTTAAATTAAGGAAGCACGTTGATTTAGGAGTCAAGCTAGGGAAATCATGTTCCTAAATTTCCTCAGCCTACATCCCAACTTCTCAGTTAAAGAGAACGTGGGATTAAGGGGGAAGTGGGAACTTGATGGAAGCTTGGTTTAACTCCTTATAAAAACAGATCAACGTTAAGTTTTGAAAGAGTGGAAAAACAATCTTAAGTATTCTGAGCATAGAGTTTCAAAGTGTTTAAAAGAGAAGTTCCTTCCATCCTTAGTCTCTTAAGTTCTTTAGAAAATACTTGTAATCATTGTGTAATTGGGTTTGGGTTGTGAGAGTTGTAAAGTGTGAGATTTGAGAGAGTTGTTTACACTGTACAAGTGATTCGGAGTAGAATCACAAAGTGTGAGAAACTGTGATTGAGGGATCACAATTGGGTAACTTGAGTTCCTCACGGAACTTGAGTCTAGGCAACGTATTAGTGATTGTAAATCATTTTTACATAGTGAATTTATTCATTGCCTATCTCAGAGTCTTTTCTCTTAGTAGTAGATTTAATTCCGCAAAATTTACCATAGTCTACATACACTACAATTCACCCCCCCTCTTGTAGTATACATTGTTCTATCAGAAGATGTCATGCTAAAGATAGTTTACCATTAGCTGTTTCCGTTGCCTTCCGGTTGAGCAAACAACTCCAAATTCCATAACACAAAAGAATTGATATGGCTGCCAATATCGGTAAGATAACCAATAGTAAAATACGCTTCCTCTTTAAATCATCTACATGTTTAAAACAAAATATGTTCAAAAATTAAAGTTGATATTAAGGTTAATAAATCTTAAATATCTAAAAATAAAATAAGTGAAAGTGAGATAAATAGATAGCACACTTGGTAATAACTGATCAATTAATATGCAAAAGAACAAATATTTGTATTCAATCAATATCATTAGAAAGCCTTTTATTGTTGTGGTGTTTTCCTGAATGACGTGTTAAAATGTACGCAACAATGTCATTTGTGCTTTGTATTTTGTTTTGTTAGAAAAGTCACATCTATGTATGGACTAATATACTATAGATCTAAGGTCATGTTTTCACTTAGGACTTATCCTCTTCAACTTATTTAAAATATTTAATACTTATTCTTTAATATATTCAGATCAGATCAGACCATATCTACTTGTTTAAAGTGAACAGAACAAGTCTTAGGAAGTACGTCATATTAGAATTTATCAGCATCACCGTTACATACTATAATTTTTTTTTTCAATTAAAATTTCTTTTATTAACTTTTTTTTTTTAATTTTATATATATGAACCCTCAATAAACCAATATTTTTTTTTCTTTTTCCACGAACTTATTGGTGTTACTTCACGTAATTTTATAATGTAATACTCCTACAAGTATATGACAAGCTATTGAATAAAATACTACCCTCTGTTTTCTTTAGTTGACGCGTTTTTACTTTAGCATTATTCACACACTTCCTTTTAACCGTATTTTGTGATTTATAAGTATGAAAAATACAGTCATGTGGGGTTTTGTTAGATTCGTCACGATATATATATTTAAAATATCAATTTTTTTAAAATTTTTGTCAATAGGTAATTGATCTAAATAATTGAATTTGTGCATTAACAAACGTGATTAAAGAAACATGTCAACTAAAAAGAAAAGGAGAAAATAGATGATACACCTTATTTGATAACTATTCCAAAATGTAAAACTTTGGGTTGTAAAATGGTGCTCCTTAAGGAATGATATAACAATTGCAATATTATACAAATCAATGTAGTTCAACCGGAGTATATAAAATTACAAACATACCTTGAGAAACCGGCAAAGGTGTTGGTACTAATAGTAATGAGGCCTTAGTCTGATATATTTCACACCTTATATTGCAGCTAGGATTCAACATCCGAACTCTTTGACTTCCATTGCAACACGACCTCATTTCATCGATAACAATTCGAAGACATAACTCACAAACCTTAGGAGCAAGATCAGGCGTGCATTGAGCCATTGTGTTTATTCTCACAAATTTATTAAACGAAACATTTTTAGTCGAATAGTACTTCTGTTTCCCATTCCATAACAATCGAGAATAATTCTTCGCCGAACCCAATTGAGACGCTATGTCCTTCAAAATATCGCACCCCAATTTCATACTCTCGTTCACATAACTTTTAATGGCTTGAACATTTCCATCGTTATTTTTCCATACCAAATTTAAGCCATCAACATTTCCAATGAAAGACTCATTGGAGTATCGAACCATGCACTTATCATACAAATTACCGCACTTTTGGCATTCGGACAGTTCGAAGGTAGGTTGGCTGTTGCCGTAGACACACACCCGCTACAATCCTTAGAAGTAGTATCTCCTCCACATAGGAAAAGGCCATAGATTACCTCTGAATTGCCTGCACCTAAGGCCGAGGTATTTGTATAATAGTTTTCAGTATTAGTGCTATGACCTGATGTGGCTGCCTTTGCTGGAAGGGAATTGAGCAACAAATCGAGATTGCTCTTGTAAGAGATATCAGTACCGAATTTGGCGGGCGAGCACCATGATCTGATAAGGGTATGCCCCGGATCACTATTGATTAGCGATGCAGAAAAAATAAGTGATGAAAGAGCTAAGATCAGAAATAGTTTTGAGACAATAATATGTATTAACATGAACATTATTATGTTAATTATTGTTGTCAAGAAGCTTTCACTTTAATTTGTGATTTGGTAGGCATAAATTTTAGAGATAAATTACTAAAATATTACTTTATAAGTACTTAATTAGTTAGGACAAATTTGTGGAAAAGTAGTTTTTTTTTTATATGTGGACATGTCGTTATCTATTACTAACACGAGGCTGTGTGAATATATATTACCTAGCTTTGACGTAACATGACAATGAGGTTTGTAATTTGCAATTCCACATACACGACCAAATCAGATTTATGTATATAAATACAAGACGGTTCATTGTATGTTAAAGGAACAAGTCAATCTTGCGTTTAAGCTGATGGTTGATGCCAATGAATATGTTTTATACTCTATCACGTCATCTCACACGAGTACTCATTAAGCTTCAAGTGTGATTGCAACATGGTATCGGAGCTAGCGTGACACAAAGGTCATTGGTTCTAATTCATCCACTGTCCAAATCCAACGGGCTATATTGTGTGAAAGGGCGTGATATAGTATAAAACATATTCTTGCGCCTCTATAATCAGCTTAACTTTTTGGTTGAGATTGTCCTATAACTAAAGGAATTAAATAAATGACTATGGGGTCGCCTTGCATTCTCGGGGTGCGAGGTTTGAGCCTCACCACGCATGAACAAATCCCTTTTCCTTACTCCTAACCTCCTAGGCATGCATTACCAAAGTGTTGGGAGCTACGAGTATTAATGAGTAAGGTAGGAGGACATCATTAAAATACAGGGAATGGTTATAATTAAACATTTATTTCATTCGATTTAATTAAATTTAAAATTATAAAATTAAAATTATTTTTGTACAAGCTAAGGTGCATAAAGGGGTGAGCAAACCGGGTACCCGGTCAAAATTTTAGGACCCGGACTTGGAATTGGTTGGAAAAATTCGGATCCGGAATTGGAATTGGTTCAACCGGTCCTAAAATTTAGGAATTAGTATTGGAACCACCGGGTACCGGTTCCGGTTCCGAGTACCTACTTATATATGTAATTGTTGAAATATAATACATTTTATAATTCTAATTTTTGTTAGGTTCATTTTTAGCGTTTAATACTTATATTTATATATGCATTAAGCTATTTGTATTTATGTTAGGTATTAATAAATACTTTTTTAATTTACAATTTAGATACATTCAACATATTTTTTATTTATTTAAAATTTATTTAGTTTAGCATATATTAGGTAACCGGGTACCCAACCGGTTCCGGTTCCAAAAAGTTGAGAATTAGAATTGGAATTGGTTATAACCGGGTCCTTAATTTATTATCCGGAATCGGAACCACCGGGTCCAATTTCGGTTCCGGACCCGCCAATTCCTAACCGGTTCCGGTTCTAATTCCGGGTACCCGGAATTTTTGCTCACCCCTATGCATAATTCTACGAAAATTTGTCACAAAGAAAAAAAATTTATATGTACAAATTATAAAAAATAGATTTTGTGCATTGTTCAGGTTCTAATCTAGTGATCATCATTAAAAAGGTTCTAATCTAGTGCTAAAATAAAAATAATAATAAGAAGCAATTATTTATTTTAGTTAAGCGATCACATTTATTACAGAGTATTATTTATATTGACTTTAGTTCAACACTCTTTAATTTTCAGTCACAAAATTTGATTATGTGTCAAAATACTGACAATGGATGGACCATATTATAGGGTACCAAAGATGTTGACCGAATGCCTCCAACAAACATGTTGACCAAAGAAAAGTATAACACGAAATTTCCAAACAATTTGTAATCTTGTATCCCAAATCAAAGAAAAGTATTACACGGAGTTTCAAACCGACCGTCAGAATTGGCGACCCAAATGAATATACAAACTTTCGTAAATTATCACTCAAGAACTTTCTTTATCAAATTTTTTGATATGGCCAATTATGTTATCATTTTCTCTGTCGTCGTCTTTGCAATACAGATGCACCTATTTCTAGGTAATTTCTTTTTGAAGAAATTCTTTGGTATTTCGTATTAACTGCAAATGTTAATTTTTGAATGTTCTCTAGGTGCATTATCCATGACTCGTTTTTTTTCTTTTTCTTTTTTAATTGTGGCTGAATTTTGATCAGGTGAAGGAGCTAAATTTACAATAGCGAACAAGTGGCTACACTGTGTGGCCAGTCATACAAAGCACCAACGGCGCTAGCTCAAGCGTCGTTGCTGCTGATGGATTTTCCTTGACCAATGGTTCTACCAAGGTCATAAACATAAACTCAAGCTGGACGGGTAGGCTTTGGGGGCGAACCAATTGCACAACAAATAGCTCGACAGGAGACTTCTCATGTCTAACCGGTGATTGCGTCTCTGGCAAGATGGATTGCCAGGGAAGGCCCTACACATCCCCAGTAACTTTGATCGAGTTTGCTACTGTCCAGTCTAATAACTACGACTTTTATGATGTTAGCGTTATTGACGGCTACAACCTCCCGGTGACAATGGCTCCCTCTTCAGAAGGTAGTGGGAGTGGAAGCCGCTGTGCCGTGACAGGTTGTGTGTTCGACTACGAGCACGGATGTCCTGACGAATTAAAGGTGACCAACAATCAAAATGTGATTGGGTGTAAAAGTCCGTGTGATGTATTTCATACGAACGAGTCTTGCTGTTCGAATGCGAACGACTGTCGAAGTAATAGCTTCTCACTTGGGTCGTTAATATTCAAGAAGGCTTGCCCACGCGCTTACAGTTATGCTTTGGATGATCAAACATCTACCTTTGATTGTCCCGGTTATCAGACATCGTAAGAAATTACCTTCTGCCCGTCACTAAACCTTTCAAGGTACATTCCTTTTAACTCCCCTCCTCCCCATTTTATATACTTCATCCGTTTTTTTTATTATTGCACCATAGGGCTAAGTACAAATATTTTGGTAGTGGAAAAAAGTAAGAGAGAGAAAGGTAAAAATACAAAATTGCCCATGTGACATATTGATAAACTAAAAAGTAAGTGTGAAAAAACAAGGGTATGTTGGGTATTTGTAGTGTGAACACAAATAATTTTTTTCGTAAAGAAGAAATGGTGCAATAATTATGAAACTTTCTAAAAAGGCAAGTGGTGCAATAATAAAAAAACGGAGGAAGTATAATTATTTTCCCTTTTTTATCTTCAAACTTAGAATAATTCATTAAAACAATAACTTTTATATTTGCGTAGGTAGCCACATACCTATCAAGGGATAACTCGATTAGTTTTTTATTAAGGTTACTCTATTAGAGTTAGGGGGGGGGGGTTATTTAATGAGTAATAATACAAATTTTACTATGTCATTATTATAGGGGTAACTTCTTATTCAAGAGTAACTCAATAAATATAAGGGATTGTTTCGTCAATAGTATAGGGGTTGCTCAAAGTCCGTTATTTATTAGCAATCACACAATATGACTAGCTGTACAAAATCGCGTTGTTTTATCATGCATGAATTCATTGGTGGGCGGGCTCATCCCCTCTCATCTTTGTCCACAACTTTCTTTTGCTAGGCACTTTTAGTAGAGTCTTTACTTATAACTTATAAAAATGCAATGCACAAAATCTTTTAAAAGTTACAATATTATTAAGTAATCTAACTTTTCCAATGTGACCAATTAATCATGGATTCTGTTCTGGCTATTGATAGATGTTGGGATTTAGGCGTAGAAAGTGGTTCTTTCACAGTCTTATGGTGTTTTATAGCTTAACGCTATATTACTTTAGTTCGTATTTTGTTATTCTAATTGATAAACTCATCAGAGTATTCACTAATAATTCATGTATGTACATCAATTACTTATATTTAAATAAACTTTCGTTAATATGTCCAGTGCAGTATCTCAACCATTACAATCACCATCATCCTCGCCACCAGTATCACCATCATCCTCGCCACCAGTATCACCATCATCACTGCCATCGCCTACAACACCTACAACAAATTCTTCCCCTACAAATATAATTCCAAAGAACACCACGAAGCCTCGTTTGAAAAGTAAGTTAAAATTTTTACTTTCCTATACTTTTTAGTACTCCCTCCGTTCCTTATTTTGAGAAGTAAGTGTACTATTCTATTGGGTGTCCTAACTAAAAGGCTATTGTGAAAGAGGTATACAAGCTCCAAAAATTAAAGTTTGCATACAGTCAATGATGAAAAAACTAACAATAAAAGCAACAAACATGCAGGTGATTCTAAGAGGAAGCGTACTATTCTATTGATTGCCTTATCAATATCGGCCGCATTATCAATTTTGTTGCTGTATGGAGTTATGACTCGCATATTCAAGAGGAAAGTCATCAAAATAACTAATAGTTGTATGTAAAAGACTAATTTTCCCTTAGCTTTGAAACCATTTTTTGTTTTATTCCGAAAATGGTTGATTATTGTTATAAAGAATTTTTTGCGGGAAACTAACTCATCACTTTTTATGAAAAAACTACTTTACTAGAAAAAAAAAATGTAATAAACTACCGTATTAATCATAAAATATCGTAAAAAGATATCTATAGCCAGTTTCCAAAAAGTTTGACTATTTTCCCACATTGACTTTTTGTTTATTGTCTTTTTTCTTTTACTTCCCCATTCATTTTCACCCAAAATCTTTATCTATCTCAGAGCCCTCATCTGTCGTTCTTCTCATTCCTTCATAAACTACCCACTAAACCCCAAAATTTCGTTCCCTCTCATGTGCTTGAAGAAGACCAACCATAATAAAGAAAGAGATAGAAAGAAGCTAATGAGTTTTTTTAATATGAAGGGATTAAGAAGAGAAATTTGCTATTATTTGAATGAGAAGAGTGAGAATAGAAGGTGGCGAGTTAGGAGGAATGTCTTTGGGGCCATTAACGGAAGGAAAAAATAATTAAAAAGGGCAAAAAAAAAGTCAATGCTCCTTAACAGTCAAACACTTGAAATCCGACAATGTGGACCTCTTCACAATATTTTATGTTTTAAATAGTTGTTTTTTGCAAAAAATTATTTATAAGGTAGTTTTTATTTATTTATTATTATTATAAAATTTGTCTTTATAAGGTAATTTTCAATATAATAATTGTGTTTTCTTTTATCTGAATTTATAACAGCGAGAGCATCTGAGATCAAAAAGGTTGTAGTGGACTCTTTGCAATTTGACCTAAATACAATTGGAATTGCAACAAATAGTTTTGCGGCAAATAACAAACTTGGAGAAGGAGGATTTGGTGAAGTTTACAAGGTAATATGGAGACAAATCACTTCTCATTCAATAAAATGAACAATTTCGTGAATTCTTATTTATCTAGTGGCCCAAAGAAAGAAAAACGGAGATATATGTAACTAGTTGCATTGGGGATTTTTTTAGGGAAAATTTGAGAATGGAGAGGAAATTGCTGTCAAAAGGCTATCTAAAAACTCGGGACAAGGAGTTGCAGAGTTTAAAACTGAAGTTGATTTAGTTGCAAAACTTCGACACAAGAACTTGGTCAAGCTCTTGGGATTTTGTGTAGAATTGGAAGAAAAGATACTTGTCTATGAGTTTCTTCCAAATTCTAGTTTGGACAGATTTTTGTTTGGTAATTACAATCATTAAAGTCATACATTAAACAAAGAAATTCATTTGTGCGCTCATTTATAATTTGTGTACATATTTGTATTGCATGCAGATCAGACAAAGAAAGTATCTTTGGATTGGCAAACAAGGTTCAAGATTATAATTGGTATTGCTAAAGGGCTATTATATCTTCATAAAGACTCCCCTCTTAAGATCATTCATCGAGACCTAAAATCAAGTAACATATTACTAGATGATGATATCAACCCAAAGATATCGGATTTTGGCCTCGCTAAACTATTTGGAGTCGATCAAACTCAAGGTGACACTAAAAGGATCGTTGGAACTTAGTAAATTCTCTAAACTTCAACCATTATTTTAGTGATCATTTAGTTAATTATCACCTTTGTTGTAATCTTAGTTGATAAACTATACCTAGATTTTAGCATGCTAGTATTCATGATAAATTTCATTGTTATTGTATTTTAGTAATTAACTCTATTTATTATTGTGAAATGCAGTGGTTATATGGCTCCTGAATATGCAATAACAGGACATTACTCAGTAAAGTCGGATGTTTTTAGTTTTGGAGTCTTAGTTCTTGAGATAGTGAGCGGTCAAAGAAATAAATTTTTTGGACGATTGCAGCTTGAAGAAGCATTACTACACCGAGTAAGAACTTTAATTTAATTTAACACATAATTCATGAACATATCTTCACATATTTAATTATAATGATGATTTATGATATCCATATAAAATGTCAATGTTTTGAAAGGTCATTAACCTATCTTCACATACTTAATAATCTCTTGCTGAACAGGCATGGAGGTTGTGGAATGAGGAGAAGACCTTAGATTTGGTAGATACAACAATGGACAACTTTCCAATCGACGAAGTAACTAAATGCATCCATATTGGTCTATTATGCATTCAAGAAGAAGCCATCGCAAGGCCAAGAATGGCCTCTATTGTTGCTGCCCTTAATGGACAATCAATTAGTCTTCCAGTGCCAAAACCACCCCATTTCTTTGGTACTAATAATAATGTAGAAGATAATGAGATGCAATATAATTTTCAAGATGTATACACAGGTACTGCATCGATTACAGAATTGTATCCTCGCGACTAGCCTGCTTCATTCTTTCATTTTTTATCCTTACATTGTACTAATACGAGAGAAAGAATATCAACATTTTGTAATTTTTGGTATCATGTATTTAATGATACGGAGTAGTGATAGTAAAGGCATGTCTTAAAAATTGTGTAAATGTACTACATCATGGTATAGAGGAAATGTAGTGGTTTTACTTCATTATTTTTTTACTCTATAATTGCAAAATAGTGGTTTTCACATTTATCAATGCAAATTTTATATTATTAATATCTATAATTATACTATCTTAAAAAATTAGGACTTTTTGTGAAAGGCTACCTTATATACATCATAATATGTAAAAAACTACCTTATAAAAAAAATTGTTGTAAGAAATTACCTTATAAAAACTAAATGTTGTAAGTTGCTCCTATGTGCTTAATTTAACAATGATAGACAAGGGGAATTAAGGGTTATAAGGGGGCTATGGAAAAATTGGGTGGAAAAAGGAGAAAAAAAAAATTGAAAAAAGGTCATTCAACGTCTCTTATAAAATGTAATAATTCGGCAAAAGGTAGTTTTTTACAACCTTAATTGTTTTATAAGGCAGTTTCTTACAACATCTATTGTTTAATAAGTAATTTCTTACAAGATTTTTTTTTTAATAAGATAGTTTTTCACAAAAATTGACTTGTATAAGGTAGTTCTTTACTAAAAGTCCAAAAAATTATTAAAAAATTAATATTTTAAAAGTAATATATTAGGTGTATTCTATTAGTCAAATTAAATTAAACAAAACATGGTTTATGAGTCTAACAAAACTTTATATGAATATGTATGTTATGATATTTCTAACATATATTTCCCCCGTTCTAATAATATTGCCACAATTGGATTTTTACACTATTCATAGCGCCTTATTTGATCATATATTATGAATTATACCTGAAGTAAACTATAATTATGTGAGGTCTTGTTAGATTTGTCTCATAAATACTTTCGAAACATCAACTTTTTATAATTTTTACTCTTATGTAATTATAGATATTTAATACATAAAATATGCTTCAAGAAAGGTAATTTCATCTTTGTTACAGAATTTGTTGAAGTAAATAATAAAAAATGATAAAAATATTTTATGTGAATATAGTAAAATTCTTAACGTTGCAATAAAAAAAATGGAGGAATTACATCTTAAAAAACAAAAACTATTTTTATTCATGATCGACAAACGTAATGTAATTGACTAAATTCCTCTAGAAGAGGTCAAAATAATATTGTACGTCGTAGTTTAAGTTCATTTTACAAATAATCTATAGTTTGTATCAGCCCAAATTCCTATCAATAATATATGTTTAGGATCAATGAATAAATAGAATAATCCCTACATTGTTGACTTAAGAAAAGTATGACCCAGATCATTAAGCCAACGGTCATAATCGGTGACCCAAATGTATCGGGCATCTTTCACAACTAACAACTTCTGAAATACGGTTTACTATTATATGTGATTCGTTTATATGATTGTGAAATCTACTTAATAAACACACCTTTCAATTTCATCTAATTCAACAATTTTATATGGCCAACTATGCTTCGATTTTGCCTCTACTTATTGTCGTCGCGATGATTCAGCTATATTCAGGTATTAAATTTTACCAGCAAATTTATATATTTGGTACATTTTGATTGTTAATAAGCTTATTTTTAAGGGAATGAATTTATATCAGGAGTGGCAATCATATTGAAGGTAGAAAACAACTGCGACTACACGGTGTGGCCAGTCATAATCACAACCAACGGGGCTAGCTCAAACATCAATGTCTCGAATGGATTTTCTTTACTACGTAATGATTCGAAGGTGATTAACATACAGCCAGGTTGGTCGGGCCGGCTTTGGGGGCGAACCCTCTGCACCACTAACACCTCGACAGGAAATTTCTCTTGCCTCACCGGCGATTGCGGCACTGGCAAGATAGCATGCCAGGGCATGTCATATACATCCCCGGTAAATTTTATTGATTTGAATACGTCTCAAAATGGTAGCCAGGATTTTTATAACGCTAACGTCGCTGCTGGGTACAACCTCGCGGTGACGATGGTTCCACAAGGTAGCAATGGAAGCCGTTGTGCGTTGACTGGTTGTGTGTTTGACTATGACTACGGATGCCCCAACGATCATAGAGTGATTACTAATGGTTCCGTAATAGGGTGTAGAAGCTCGTGTGACGCGTTTCATACAAACGAGTCTTGTTGTACGAATGTCAATGACTGTGAACGTAATAGCTTCTCGGCTGGCTCGTTAATCTTCAAAAAGGGCTGCCCTCGCGCTTACCATTATGCCTTGGATGTTGCCAATTCTACCTTCGTCTGTCCCAGCCCTCAGACGTCGTATACCGTTACGTTCTGCCCGTCACCTAGCCTCGCCAGGTGCATTCATATGACTTTTCTAGTTGTTTTTTTCTTTTTACTAAAATACTCCCTCTGTTTTTAAATACTTGCTCAACTTTTACATGCGCAGAGTTTTAGGAGAACTTAAAAAAAATAATAAAATATAGAGGTAGTGGGGTAGGTGGAAGAATAAAAAATTATAAAAAGCAAAAGTAGTGGAGATAATTGAAGGAAATAGAATATGAAATTAATAAAATATGATTAATTATGGGTCCACTAGGTGAGAGAAATAAATTAAATATTGTAAAAATTTTCCAAATAAAGAAATGGAGCAAGTATTTAAAAACCGCCGAAAAACAAAGTGGAGCAAGTATTTAAAAACGGAGGGAGTATCATACTTTATACATCTTTGAATGTTTTTTCTACTTGACTTGTTTTTTTACAAAAAAACTATCCAAATAGGAACAATGAGTAGCTAGACACAGATGATTTTTTTTTTAAAATGCATAATTGCACTATCTTCATACCGTAGAATGTTTGACGAGGTCGATATTAGAAATAAAGTTGGACTATAGCATATAATTTGCTAATTTCATCATACTTCTTAGTCTTTTTTTTTTCTTTTGTAAGTTTCATACGAATTACTCCATAGTTACAGTTATGTGTATTCCATATGTTTGGATTTTTAAAATTTTAAAAGATAAAGATTTATGTATTTTAAGCTTAATATAAAAGGTCTAAAGAAATAGTCATAATAAATTGTTTATTAAATATATGAAGTATTTTTGTAATAACTTAGTTGGACCACATTTAACAAAGTAGTTATAATTATACATTAATGTTTTTATTAAATTTAATTTAGTAAGTCCAATCCAAAGAAATAGTCCTAGTGTAGGTAACATAATTTTATTGAATACGTTCTATGAATTGTTTTCTAGTAATTTATATTCACTACTTTATTCAGGGTGGTGTGTGAACCGTTCCAATCATTGTCAACTTCATTATCACCAACTTCTACAACATCACTTTCTAAGAGTAAGTTAAAAATTTTATTTGCTAATAATTTTTATACGTATGGCATATTGGTATCATAAATTTGGCAATTGAAATTCTCATTTGAATTTTGCAAACGTTTGAGGGATATAGAATAAGAAAGCTGATTAGATTATTGTTGAATAAAGTTAACAATCAACCATAATATTAGATGTGGTTGACTAAATGTGAATAGAAATAATAATATGGCTAGGTTTGATTGACTAGAATAATTGAAAAGTAAATACCAAGATTATGAGATTTAATTGATCAAAAGTGAACAAATAATAGACAATGGATTAATATAATAAGAGTTTTATTTAGAATCAATACTGTTAGATCAAGTGAGACTCTTATTTAAAAACAGAGGTAATAACTAAAACACTCATACATATATCAGTTTTATGTACAATTGAGACTGTACATAAATAAATGACTAATGCACCTGATCGATTACGGTATCTTATATTTCAAGCTTTAATTGTTGTGTATAATGATACTCTATTACGTTGTGTAACTTACCTCTTATAAAATCTTAATCAGTGAAATCTAATGTAGCTTTATTGCTTTAACATTATGTTGTGATTTCATTTCATATGAACTTCATCATGTTTAATCTCAACAATCCACAATTACTATACATGCATTTTTTTATTTAAATTGTAGAGAGAATCACAATATTTAACCAAATAATTTAGTTGACATCCTCATTAGTTACATACAGTGATTGTGGTGAATTCAACATGCAGGTGATGTCAAGAGGAAGCGTACTATTCTTTTAGTTAGTTTACCAATACTCGCTGCAACATCAATTATGTTGCTGTGTGGAGTGTGGACTAGTATGCGCAAGAGGAAGGCCACCAAAATATCTAATTGTTGTATGTAAGGCTTAAACTTGGACAATAGACATGCACATTGTTAACCAGCTTTGATAACTTTTTTTGGTTTATTTATTGTTTGAATCTCTGTTCAGTGGAAGTGTGTGAGATTAAAAATGCTGTAATAGACTCCTTGCAATTTGATCTAAACACGATTCGAACAGCAACAAACAACTTTGCTGCAGAAAACAAACTTGGAGAAGGCGGGTTTGGTGAAGTTTACAAGGTAATATGTAAAACATGATCCCAATTTTATTTATTTATTTATTTATTTATTATATGATCCCAAAATTTTGTGTCATTTGATTAGCCAAAAAAATGAAAGAAATTAGACTTTTATGATATTTTCATGTAAAACATGCTTGCTATGTGGCATTTAAGGTAAGTATGTAAAGTTGTAAACATGCTTACTAAATTCCGATTTTACATGTGAATATTATCACTAATTTTTCACCCACCACATCCGTGAAAAGAAAACAAGTACAATTTAAATTGAGGATTATCACGTTACAAACTTGATCTATAGGGGAGAATGATTAAGTATTGACTTTCGATGATGAATTCATCCTCTGAACTATATGTCATTCTCCCATTTTTCGTAACATTTATTTGAGGTTTTTTTTTTATTATTAGGGGAAACCCGAGAATGGACAGGAAATAGCTGTCAAAAGACTATCAAAAAATTCCGGACAAGGAGCTGTAGAGTTTAAAAATGAAGTTGTTTTGGCTGCAAAACTTCGACACAAGAACTTGGTCAAGCTCTTAGGGTTTTGCGTGGCAACAGAAGAAAAGATACTTGTATATGAGTTTCTTTCTAATTCAAGCTTGGACAAATTTATATTTGGTAATGACGAAGTATTGAGAAGTAAACAAAACAATATATAATTGTTAATTTATGTATTGGCTCCTCATTATTAGTTGTTTGTAATGCAGATCAAAAGAAGCAATCATCTTTAAATTGGCAAATAAGGTGCAATATTATAGTTGGTATTGCAAGAGGGCTTTTATATCTTCACGAAGACTCCCCGCTTAAGGTTATTCATCGAGATCTAAAATCAAGTAACATATTACTAGATGAACATATGAACCCTAAGATATCAGATTTTGGCCTTGCCAAACTGTTTGGAGTTGATCAAATTCAAGGTGACACTAAAAGGATTATTGGAACTTAGTAAGATCTCTAACCTTCCCATAATTTTTATAATCTTGTATATAGATAAGGAATATAGTAAGTAGTACTTAAATTATATAGTCCCTTCCACTTTTATATACGGGTATAAAACTTAATGATTATTATCTTTCTACACTTATATTTCAAGAACAAGAACTTATTTTCAAATACTTTCCATTTAATGAATTGTGCTTTATATATATATATATATATATATATATATATATAAAATGAAAACTAGCTCATAATTATTTAATGGTGTATCAATTTTTTTTTAACCGTTGATTTTTATATTTAATTTAAATGAAAAAAAAATATGATCTTATTAATTAGGTTAATTTTCTTATTTTTGAAATACAGTGGTTATATGGCTCCAGAATATGCAATAACAGGTCATTACTCTGTAAAATCAGATGTTTATAGTTTTGGAGTCTTAGTTCTTGAGATTGTGAGCGGTCAAAGAAATAGATTTTGCAAGCAATTGCAACTTGAAGAGGCATTACTACATCGAGTAAGTTTTATTTTATAAGGGTTCATGTTTTTTTTTTTTTTTTTTTTTTGAAATGTCAATAACGTATCTCTTGTTTATTGCATAGGCATGGAGGTTATGGAATGAAAACAGGACCTTATATTTTGTTGATACAACATTAAAAAATGACTTTCCAATAGATGAAGTAACTAAATGCATCCATATTGCTCTACTATGCATTCAAGATGATGCCGCCTTAAGGCCAAGAATGAGCTCCATTGTTGCAGCCCTCAATGGCCAAGCCGTTTGTCTCCCAACGCCGAAGCCACCTAATTACTTTGGTACTAACATTTTAGAAGATAATGATTCTCTAGGTAGTGTATATACAGGAAATAAGACGATTACAAATTTGTATCCTCGCGATTAATTAACCTATCTCATTCATTTTTTTTATAATTTTATATATAGATAGATATTTTTTTAGTGTGGCAAGTCATATGGTGCGGCAGGGGTTACTTTATATACTGTATATATGCAAAAAAAAAAATGTACTTAATTTTTATAGTAATACAATAATGAAAAACAGAAGAAGTATATATAGAGTAATCCGTATTTTTGGAATAATACTACGTAAGTTAGCATGGACAGGTAGTGTTAAAAAAAAAAAAGCATGGACAAATTGGATTGGAACACAGTCACTCAACCATCAGTGTTGTCTCTTGGCTAATTTAACGTTACATGCCAATAAGTATTTTAGCCGTATAGAGGGTATGGAACAACATGAAACATGCGTTCCAGATATATAGTCCAATGTAACCAAGAGAAAATGGCAGGCTTATCAACTTATATCAATTATCACTTTCACATATCATAGTCGCAAATTCGCAATAACCCCATTGGATTTTTAGAGTAAAGAGAAATTGAGAATTGCACTATGTAATATCGACCTCAACCTCATCAATCTTTATTTTCAGTCACAAAATTTGATTATGTGCCCAAATAATGATATTGGTCCATGGACTATTATGGATTTATGAACCATTACATTTTTTTTCAAAGGATGTGGCAGCAATGTTAGCCAAAGAAGATAAAACACAAAATTTCTAAACAATTTGTAACCTTGTATCCCAAACTAAAGAATAGTATTACATACCGTCAAAAAAAAAAAAGGAAAAGAAAAGTATTACGTGGAAATTTCAAACAACGGTCAACTTTGGAAACCTACATAAATTTATTTATAATATGACCAATTATGTTACATTCAATCTCTCTTGTCACCCTTGTCGTGCAAACGAACCTGTTTCTAGGTACTTAATCTATATTAGGCAAAATCCAACGACCGCTCCGAAGGCGTTGGATAAACCAACTAATAGTAGAAAGATTAATTTAAAATGAACATTAATTACGCCGAGCAACGCGTGATTTTGTCATGATTTTCCAAATTAATACCATTTTAGGCAATATTTTAAATGTTTATCCAACGCGCCAAGGGCGTTCGTTAGCAAGATCCTCTATATTATAATATACTCCGTATTTAATTTGTTTTTTTTTGACAACCGTATTTTATAATTTTGTATTGAGATACTTCTACCAATATTTCATTTTATTTTTCTTTTTGAGAGAGAAATTAAACCTAGGTTTATTATTACATTTAATTTTAGTATGGTTGAAATTGGTTTTATAAAAGAGACCAATTTACCATTTTCATGTCCATATATTTAATAGCATCATTGATTAGAAGGGGTGAAGTTCTCACCATTACTCTTTTTTCACATCATATTTAGTGATTCCTTATCAATACGTATTATTATCAAAGATTTTGTTTTTTTCGAACTCTTCTAGAATGGTGCAACTTGTCATATATGGCCACAACTTTTTTTTCTTTCCGAATTGAATATCCTTGATATATTTCATACCCTTCAACTTGTGCAACTAAAAACTTGTAATAATCAACTATGAAATCGAATTATTTCTTCGGCTATTTCAATTCTCAGCTCCTTTGTCATTTGCATAGAAAATGAAGTACTAGCATTAATTATCACCATTACCTTAACTAATCTCGATCTCTATCGTTCTTTTTCTTCTCAACTTCTTTATATCGATCATTTCTTTCTGTGATAGAGTAATACCGGACTGCATTAATATCGAAGTATATATTAATATATATTTATCTAGAGAAAATATGGATGGTGTATCTGTGATAGAGTAAAAAGCTAAGTCATGAAATACATTTTATGCACCTAAACACCACCCTAAAGCTCAAAATATGTTACAAAAACAGAAAGAAATAGAGAGAAATTAAAGCATGTAATTTAAATATAAGGTGAGGTTGTAGTTTTATTGTAACTTTCTAAAGTGGTCTTGTAATTGTTGCAATATTAAGGGACATGAGATATCTCTCTTTTCATTTGAAGTCGCCCAGTTAAATTCACTACCACTTTTTACTACATATTTCGTTCATTCTCACATCTTTTATTTTGCTATTAGATATTATATACACTATCTTTTTATATACGTGCTGAATTTTTAAAATCCCACCTACCATATATTAAACTCCAAAAACTTAACTAAAACTATGTGGCAGTTAAAGAAATTGACTTCAAAGACAAAAGAAGGGTACTCTTCTCAATACTATAAAGCAACTTATTTTTTGAGCCATCTCCTTAAACTCAAACCACCCACACACATTCCCCCCCCCCCCTCCTCCCAAAAAAAAAAAAAAAAAAAGAAAATAAGAAAATAAAAGAGTGAGATGGCTAAAAAAATAAGCTGCGTAATAGTATTTTTCTCAATCTATATGACAGTTATTTCCAAATCAGTAAATGTTGATAAATTATGGAGATCTAACTGCCCAAACAACACCATGTTTGCTAACAGTAGCCAATATGAAGCCAATCTAAATACCCTATTTGGTTATCTCTCTGGCAACGCCACCAACCTCGCCGGCTTTTATGAAGCTGTTTCTAACAACGGCAACACTTCAAGCGAAACAATCTACGGTAACTTTCTCTGTCAAGGGGACTTAGATCCTAGATTGTGCTACGATTGTGTTATCGCTGCCACCACCAAGGACTTCCCTATGACACGGTGTCCCAATCGTAAAGTTGCCATTTTATGGTACGAAGGTTGTATGGTAAGGTATTCAAACCAATCATTTTTTGGTAAATTGGACGAGATGCCGGCAGATCAAATGCTAAGTGGTGACGATGTACAAGGGAACATAACCCATTATACCGAGCTTGTGAATAACATGATGTCTGTGATTGCTAATCGTGCTCCATTTGACGGGTCACAGAAAAAATTCGCAACATACATCACAAATTTCACAGCCTTCGGTACATTATATGGGTTGGGACAGTGTACGCCTGACTTGAGCCCCAATGATTGTAAGTCGTGCTTGGAGAACGGTGCTTCGAAACTGTCGACGTTGGTTCAGGGTGCACGATATTTTCAGCCTAGTTGTTTTGTCAGGTACGAGTTATATCCGTTCTTTAGTTTATCATCGCAACCCCCTGCACCTTCACGAGAATCTCCAGCAAGTGATTCAAGCGGTACGTTGATATCGTTTTCGTTATGAAATATATGCATGCTCATAATTTTAATACTCCGTATCTTTTTCGTTATGATATACTTAGTGTGTATATTATTTAGAAAAATTTGTTGAAAACTATCATATAAAAATTAAATTTTGTAGGCATGGAAGCAAAGGAATGATGGGGCACCCTTGGAATTTGTTGATCCAAATATAAGGGATTCGTGCTCGGTAAATGAAGTCCTAAGATGCATACACCTTGGCTTGCTGTGTGTTCAAGAGTCAGTGGACGATAGGCCTACAATGGCAACAATAGTCCTCATGTTAGATAGTTCCTCCGTCTCTCTACCAGTACCACAACACCCGGGTTACTTTATCATAAATAGGACAGGATCAAACTTTGGAAGCTCAGTTTTGTCCGATCAGTCAACTAGAACGTCTATGCCTTGGTCTGTGAATGGCGTCTCTATCTCTGAAATGGACCCGAGATAGGGGCGTGAATCGATAAAAAGTTGTAGTACAATAGTTTTATTATCTCCGATCCATGAATATCATGCTATCTGAGTAATAATGAAAAGGGAGCGTTAATTAAGCATCGGCAACATAGTCATGCGTGGTTATAGGTCATGCGTGGTTATAGATATCGTCAATTAATTAAATCATGTTTTATTCTATGGGTATATACATAATATGTCATGCAACTTATTTGTTGTTCCTTTAAAAGAATGTTTTTCGTTTTCATAATACGATTTTGCTAACGAGCGCCCCGGGGTGTTAGATAAGGATAAATTATATTGGTTAAAATGGTATTAAGTTAGGAATTCATGATAAAATCACGCGTCGTTCGGTGTAATTAATATAAATTTTACACTAATATTTGTACTTTAATTCTCTTATCTAACGCTCCGGGGGCGCTTATTAGCTTTTGCTTTCATAATAATAGAATTTTCCAAATAAATATTGTACTAGTGATTATCTATTGATCACCATTTGCTTGTTATTAATTAATAATAGTTCGTTAAGTAAACAATGAACCACATACTAAGGAGTGACATACAATTATTAGACTTCTTCTTCAACTTCACTACAGCTATTTAATAGCTTGTTATATATAAGTCCACAGACTTGCAAACATTGAGATATATATTTTGGGAAAGATACATTAATTGGACAGGTTGGCATGATGAAATAAAGAACAAATAAATTTAGTCTAAAGTTATTCAGCCTTGACTAATTCAAACTTGCCCTCCTATAATCTAAAATGTAAAGTTGTATGGAATATTTCACTAAGCGGCGAAAGTGATAGATTGACATATTTAACAACTATAATTTCTTTTATTTCTTGTGTATTTCTTTTGTTTCTTCTCTTTGTAATATCAATTTTAATTTCTTATATGTACACTTGCTGCTACAGTTAAATTGACACACATGTCGCACGAACCCGCTTTAACTAGATGTACTCCTTCTGTTTTTTTAAGTACCCTGTAGTGGACATGTGTTGAATAGTAAACCTCTCAAGTGTCATCACATGCAAGTGTCCCACATTGGTTGAAGAAGAGAGAGGTAAACACTTTATAAGGCTAAGGGGCTACTCCTCCTATTGCCATATGGTTTTGGGATGGAACCTCCATGGACTTGTGAAGTGAACTCTCTCTCTTGGTTTGCGGGTGCGGCCCAGACTCGCATTTGACATGGTATCAGAGCCAGACCCACGATATGAGACCTTAAATAGCTAAAGTTCACTGGGCCAAGAGTAGGTCCGTGTGAGGGGGAGTGAAGAAGCACTGTAGCCCGAGAGTATCTTAATTATCAGTAACTACAAATCATGGAAATTGAATATTAATAATCTACTCATTAAAACGATTCCAACATTTATCCATAAGACTTTATTTTTTCTTATTTAAAATTCACTAACATTGGTCAAAGTAATTCTAAAGAATAATGCTTATTTCTCCAATAAGGCAATTAAAAAAACGGATGGAGTACATTTTAATGTATCTATATTTTGCGAACAACCAACAATAATTGCTGGTAATGGAATAGACCAGTCCGGAAATATTTTGATCGAAGAGAACGAATGAATTGTAATTCTTCAGACTTCAGTTCGATTTTCTCTTGCTTCAGTTTAAAAGTCTAGTTAATGATCCAAAGCACCATTCAAAATGTCACATCTGCTGGTCTACTTCCTGGAAAATGGAATTCAACTTTCTTAACGTAGATTATTCATACAAATAGTCAATAACGACTAATCCAACTACGAGTAGATTTTTAAATAGTTTAGTTTGAAATCATGCAAATACACGTCACAAATTGTCTTTCCCGTGTTTTTTAATTTCTCTGTGGGACCAATAATGTCACAAATTCAACATTATTTTGATGTAGAAAAATAACATATTATATATTTTAGTCAAATGTGAAATGTGTAGTTATCATAGTCATCAATTATAGCATTGCTCATATATATGAATTCTTTGACCCGTTCCTTAACCAACTGAACATTTATAATATATTGTTTTATGGAAGGTTGTTTAGTATCAAAGCTATTTTGATCTTAAAAGAAAATAATTCGTACCAAATGGCTCAAAAAATAAGTTGGTTTTCGATATTGTTCTCAATTTATTTGCCAATTATCTTATTGATGATTTCCAAATCAACAAATGCTCAAAGCTATTACTGCTCAAACAATACAATGTTTGCTAAAAATAGCCAATGTGAAGCCAATCTCAACACCCTCTTCCGTTATCTCTTATTCAATGCGACCGTCCCAAACGGCTACCACCAAGCGGTTTCTAGCAATGACAACCCCAATAGCGAGACTATCTACGGCCACTTCCTTTGTCGCGGGGATTTAAACACTAGCGCGTGCCAAACTTGGGTCAACTATGTCATAGTGTTAGAATCCAACTCCTTTTGATGTATTAGATTCCATTTAAGAGCTTTCCTAGAGTTTAGGTTATGTTTTCTTAGCTTGAGGTCCCATTATTGTGTTATTGTCAGATCAGTGTTCACTAGGGATTCTCCTTGTATGTCATTTAAAGCTCTTTAGAGGGCGAATGATTAATGAAATCTTAAAGCCTTCTACCAAGTGTTGCCTTGCTTTTATGCTTGTTTGATGTTAGACCTTTATAGATATTGTGTCTTACTTGCATATTAGCTCCCCTCCAACCCAACTTGATGCGCTAAGGACTCGTGGTTCGGACCCGCTTGTGCCCGCTTTGAAGTACCGGCCGTCACAAGCCCCGACCACCCGCACTTTGTCGCCCAGATAGACGTGAGTGCTCCTGAGATTCTATTGCTCGCTTGTGTTACTTTGTGCTCACAAGCCCCTCTTCCGCTCAAGGCTAGCGTTCTTGCCACCAAAAGGCTAGAGCGTGCCGCACGTTTCGAGGTCCAAACTCCCGGACCGTGATAGTTGGTATTAGAGCCGAGGCTCAAACCTCGTCGCAAGCAACCCGTGTAGGCACCAAGGACGGCTACACGAAGATGGAATTCGTAGAAGAAAGGCTCGCTTGGCTCGAGGAGAAGGCGGACAAATGGGCCGAGCTCCAAGTCATTGTACACGAGCAAGCCGAGCAAATTGTGAAATTGATGGCTGACAGAGATGCCCTCCGCGAACAATTGCAATTTGTTCAAGGAAAAGCCGACGAAGCACTTGAGAAATGTGCTACCTTAACGCGCGCTGTGGGCAGAGACGCACTGGGTGTTGGTGCGGCGAAGATAAAGCCGCCCAAACCTCGCGACTACAGTGGCGCTAGAGATGCGAAAGAAGTTGATAACTTCCTCTTCGACATGGAGCAGTACTTCCGAATATGTCAACTAAGTGACGATCAGAAGGTGGATACTGCCATCATGTACTTGTTCGAAGATGCTAAGCTGTGGTGGCGCACCAAGCACGCAGACATCGAAGCAGGAAGGATCAAGATTGATACATGGGCGGAGTTCAAAGAGGAACTCAAGAACAATTCTACCCCGTCAACACAGCGTTTGTTGCACGGATGAAGTTGCAAGAGTGCCGCCAGAAGGGTTCTCTTCTCAACTATGTTAAGGAATACTCGGTGATAATGTTGGACATCACAGACATGAATGAGAAAGATCGTGTGTTCAACTTTGTCAACGGGTTAAAGGAATGGGCGCAGCGAGAGATTTTGAGGCAGAATATTGATACCCTCGCTGCTGCTATGTGTGCTGCTGAGAGATTGATAGACTACTCAGTCGGGAAGGGTCGTCAATCCGAGAAGGATTCAAGTGGGACGTCAACACGCTCTAACAGTCCGTCTCCAAGCTCTCCAAAGGGTACAGAGAACGGCTCACGAGTATCGTCCAACACCATTAATACATATCATAGAAGAAGTGGAGGAGGTGATGCCCAGAGACAAACATCTACCCCCTCCCACAACTCAGGAAACTCGAGGGCCGGCGCATCCTCGGAAAACACAAGGGAAATAAACTGCATACTTTGTCGAGGTCCACACAAATGGTGGGATTGCGAGCATAAAGAAGAACTTGACAAGATCCAAAAGAGATTGTCATCCATGTCCGTTCAGGAGGCCACAAAAGAGACTAGCAGCGATGAGGAGCCCACATATAGGATGGGTTCCATACGACGCCTGAGTGCTATGAGAATGATAGCACCTCAAGAAGAACCAGAAGTCCGATATCTTTCGGCAATGCGAGTGATGGAGCCTGAGAAGAAGGCAACATCGAAGAAACAAGCTCGCACCAGAAACCTAGAGAAGCGGGAGATGAAGCCCATGGAGTTGGCAACATCCCAGATACACAGCCGCCAAAACCAGAATCAGTCACAAGGTACGAAGCAAAGAGCGACGAGCCTAGAGACACCAAAGAAGAACCTCCCAAGAGGGAGGAAAATCAGTGGTTGAGCAAACAACGCAGGGCGCGTGCAAGGGATTACAAAGAAAATGGTCACCCAAGAGGCACCAGCCACAACTTGAAGCTCTCCACCACAGTCTCAAGGAAGCAGCTCCCCAACAGATGATGGTGGAAGCAGCTGTCCCCCTTAATTCAACAGATTCCACTCCCAGGAGGAAATTTAGAGATGAAGCTCTCAACAAGATGTTCGAGCTGAGCGACTCCAGAGACAAGCTCCTCGTCAACAAAGAAGATCCAGCTCAAGAGTCAGATAAGATTCCAGAAGATAGCCGCACCAACGGCGCATCCGAAACTTGAGATAGTTTAGGGTTTTCTAATTTTGGTTGTAACTTTTGTAAGTCGACGAGGTCGTCGACAGCTTAAGTGGGGGAGGATGTTAGAATCCAACTCCTTTTGATGTATTAGATTCCATTTAAGTGCTTTCCTAGAGTTTAGGTTATGTTTTCTTAGCTTGAGGTCCCGTTATTGTGTTACTGTCAGATCAGTGTTCACTAGGGATTCTCCTTGTATGTCATTTAATGCTCTTTAGAGGGCGAATGATTAATGAAATCTTAAAGCCTTCTACCAAGTGTTTCCTTGCTTTTATGCTTGTTTGTTGTTAGACTTTTATAGATATTGTGTCTTACTTGCATATTAGCTCCCCTCCAACCCAACTTGATGCGCTAAGGACTCGTGGTTCGGACCCGCTTGTGCCCGCTTTGAAGTACCGGCCGTCACAAGCCCCGACCACCCGCACTCCGTCGCCCAGATAGACGTGAGTGCTCCTGAGATTCTATTGCTCGCTTGTGTTGCTTTGTGCTCACAAGCCCCTCTTCCGCTCAAGGCTAGCGTTGTTCTTGCTGCCAAAAGGCTAGAGCGCGCCGCACGTTTCGGGGTCCAAACTCCCGGACCGTGACACATAGCCACTGACCTTCCTACGAATTGTCCTAATCGAAAAGTAGCGATTGTATGGCGTAATGTGATTATTCCAAATAAAACAAGTAAACGATCAAAAATATGAGAATTAGAGCTTCAATTCTTACTCATTGCTGACATGCTTTAGTGTTGTATGTCATGTATTGTGCATTTATTTGTGCACAGTTTAATTATAGCTATTGTGTTGCTTCTTATTTTAAATGACCACTGCTTGCTTTAAACGAATAAATCTTTGTTTGTCGGACCCCACGTATGCCCACCTTGGGCAATTTGGCTGTTGCAGGCATCAAATGATCTATGTTTTCACTCTTAGCTTATTTCTTAAACGGTAGATTGTTTTAATTAATATTTCTCTCAAATTCAAATATTTTTTTATTGATACGTGTGTTCACAAACCCAATTATGCACTTAGCCTGCATATTTGCAGCTAAAAAAAAAAAGTGTACATCACAATCCAATTCAATGCTAATACGTCTCAACTATATTGACGTCTTGAATACATATATTGAAATATCTAGCAGGTAAGTATAGTTAATCATACCAATACTATTGGCCTTAAGGTGAAGCATGGTGAGATATGTAGCAACATTGACTAAAGAATGAGGCATCAACCGATCAACATACGTAGTATAAAATTGTGGAAAATCGGAAATTTCAAAGCATTGAATGCAAAACCACCAAAAAAATCAAAGGACCCACCTCTAGTCCCCTATGCCAAAGGGAAAACTTTCTCCATCGATGCCTAATTTTGTCATTTTACTACTTAAGCCATTTACATTGTACCATGTATTTCTTTATTATTATCGCACATTATTCATATTTCATATCCTCCTTTATTTTTTTATCTAAAATAATCCCTCCCTAATCAAGATTATACTTTCTTTATCAAAATTATCATAATTATTATTCTGTATACTATGAATCTAGCAACAAATTCCAAACTAGTTATAATAATTAACCTCTTACTTCAATTAATTTCCAAATCAACTTCCACTCCAACTTATCTCTATAGCATTTGCTCAAACATCACTGAATTTACTACAAATAGTAAGTACCACACCAACCTCAACACCCTCTTCAAATCCCTCTCCTCCAACGCCACCAACAACCCCACCGGCTTCGACATCACATCCGCCGGCACCAACACAAGCGATGCCATCTACGGCCTATTCCTCTGCCGCGGTGATCTAAACATCACCACGTGCAGGGATTGTGTCAAGACCGCAACCACAACAGACCTACCAAAGACATACTGTCCCAATAGAAAAATCGCGGTAATATGGTACGACGAGTGTACCGTAAGATACTCTAACGAATCGCTCCTTGGAAAAATGGAGCAATCACCTAAAGTGTTCTTAACCAACACTCAAAATGTGACTGGAAATCAAACCGCGTTTTCTGATCTTATAGGAAACACAATGAATAGTTTATTAGCTCAGACTTCGAATAGTAAGTCGGGTAAAAAATATGCAACAAAAGTGGCGAAATTTGACAGCTTGAGGACTCTTTATGCAATGGAGCAGTGTACTCCTGACTTGAGCGCCGCAGATTGTAATCAATGCTTGACGATTGCGATCGAGTCGCTCGACTTTAAGAGGGGTGCTCGTGTTATGCAGCCTAGTTGTTTTGTACGTTACGAGATTTACCCGTTTTATGATGGTGCCATTAATATCTCATCACCGCCATTGCCGTCGCCGTCGCCATCGCCTGGTAAGAAAATTACAAGTATTTATTTTATCTGTATGTGTAATTCACATCTCATTTTCTTTTAATTTATACTTCTTGTTTGCCTGTCTAAGGTTTTGATTTAAATCTTTATGAAATAAATTGGATCATGTATTAATCTAATAACTCAATTTGTGTTTGTTTGATAAATATATCATTAAAAAATAAATTTGGAAACAGAGTATGGGTATTAAGAAAATAGGAATAAATTGATTACTCCGCACCGTAATATTTTATTGGGAAGTTCGATCGTTGAAATAATATACTCCGCACTGTAATAAGACTAGAATAGTCAATATTGGAATGAAAATTGAGAAAGGAAAGTTTTACTTATTCAACAAAAAAGGTGTAAAAATAGAGGATGAAAAAAGAGTAGCAAAAACAGAGTGATAAAAAACTGACTAATTGACTTTATTTTTTTTAATTTTAATTATTTATTTTTTAACACAAACTTCCTCTTAAGTATATAATATTAAGTAAAAATAACATCAATTCAGTTAAAATAAGTTCAGTTCGGAAAAAATAATTTCATTTTAGTAAAAATAATTTTACCGATTATTTAGGTTCAGTAAAAATAAGGTCAAGTGAACCGGGCTTAAGTGACTATTACCGTTTGTTAATTTGAATTTAAACTTAAAATCTCCTTATTATTTCAGTAGATTTTGAAATCGATTCTTATTATCTACATATGTGTTTCTCTATACACCACACACACATACAAAAAAAAAAAAAAAAAAAAAAAAAAACCTCTCTCATCAAATTTAAATTAAGATCCTTTGTCTTTTTAGTACACGTTCTTAAAATTAGTGTTTGGACAAAAGGAATAACGATATATAGAATTGTGATTGTTTATGAAAATATATTTATCAAAACCTATACAATAACATATATATTACTACAAAAATCAATCACACATAAAATGGGAAAAATATTCAGCTAGGTTTTATAGAGTTAGGCTCCGTTCACTTCTCCTTATTTTTACGAAACAAATTTTTTTTTTGCTAAACTGAAATTATTTTACTGAACTGAAATTATTTTTACTGATTCTCTATTATACTTTCTTCTTTACAGTTACTGATTTTTACTGAACTAAATTTTTTTTCTCTAAACTAAAATTGTTTTTATTTAATTGAAATTTATTTTTACTGAATATTATTTTTGTAAGGTGAAGTGAACAAGACCTTCTTAGTACTTGTAATACATTTATGCAAGGAATTTCATTGTCACTGAGTTAAATCTAATCAATTTATTTTAAATTTTATTGAAATAAATATGAGTATTGAAAATCGTAAATCATGTATTGCACGGATATTAATCTTGTTTTATTTTTTTCATCTGGTCTCACACCATAATATTTAGTCTAACAAAGATAACCCTACTTATACATTTGTATGATTCTCCTAAAACTCTACACGAAAAGCTTTTGTGTTTCTTAGAAAAATGGATGTATAATGATCCTCTTAAAATTTGGCAGGCAAAGCTACAACAATTACGATAGTGAACAATTGTTCCTATACAGTATGGCCTGGAATATCCACCATCAGTAGCAGTGTCAAAGTCCCAACAGGATTTACTCTCCTAAACGGAGAGTCCAAGACCATTAACATCCAATCCAATTGGGAGGGCAGCATTTGGGGAAGGACCAATTGCTCACTTGACCATAAAGGGAATTTCTCTTGCGAGACTGGTGATTGTGGCACAGGTAAAATTGAATGCCAAACCACATCTTCACCGAATTTGGTGACAATGGCTGGCTTTAGTATCAGTCAAATTGAGGACCAATACAAGTACAACATTAGTGTTGAAGCCGGTTACAATCTTCCTATGATGGCAACTCCTGAAGGGGTGATCGGACTCCGTTGCGTAGTCACGGGTTGCGTGTTCAACCTCGACAATTCCATATGCCCCCCTAGTATGAGTGTGGTCAATAAGAATTTGAGAATGATCGGGTGTAGAAATCCTTGTTATGATGCTAAACAATGTTGCAAAACATGGCCAAAGTGTTTGAGTAGTGACTATGTGGAATCGTCGAATCTTTTTGGGAAGTCTTGCCCGCGGGCAAGTAACAATCCCTCCGACTTGATTAACACTACGTTCTCTTGTCTGAGCTACAAAACGTCTTATAAAGTTACATTTTGCCCATCTCCCAACATGGCCAGGTATGACCATTTTTTTTTTCTACTCATGCACTCATCCACTTTTTATCTTCCAAATTAAAAATGTATATCATGATGTAAACATATTCAATGCTTATAACTTTTTTTAAAAAATAAAAAATCAATGCTTATACATGCAATAATTGAGATTGGAAAACCTTGTCTTTCAAAAAACGTTAAGGGGTTCTTTGGTTGGATTATTTGGAATGGGTTGGAATGGAGTAAGAATCCATTACATCTATTTTTTTTTTGGTTGAAGTTTTTAGTTATAGAATTTCATACCCATGGGATTCTAACTCTCCCCCATATCCACCTCTCCCCTTAAGATTCACGCACTATCCATTCTATTAATGAAGTATAGAATTCAATCTACAATAAAACCAATTAAACAACTTAAGACAGTATGGGTTTTAAATTCAAAACAATCCATTCCAATTTGATAAACCAAACACCCCCCTAAAAATCATTACTTTTGAGGGAGACAAGTTGCTGAGGAAGCATTATCATAGCCTAAGAACAAACAAAAAGCTTTTAAGAAACAAGATACGTCTTTCAACCGAAAATCTTATGGAAGCCCTTTCAAAATCAACAATATTCATTAGGATATTATTTAAACCTATTTTCCAGACATGTGTGAAAATGGTACGAGACAAATGTTTATATACACTTGATCTTAAATGAATAAATAATGACCTTGTTTGGCAATTGGCTGCTGATTGTTGGTTGTCGGCTGGTTTAACTGGCTGTTTGTATTGGTTTTTTTGTTGGTTGTTTGAATTTTTATTACTCTAAAAAAATATTTGGTAAAATTGGTTGTTGGGTATTATTAGTAATTTAGGTAGCCAAAAGCCAAAAGCTACTCCAAGTAGTTTTTTTTTATTTTGGCTTAAAAGTCAGCTTTTCAGCAAGCTAAAAAAGCCATTTACCAAACAAAAATTTTGGATGTTTGACCAAATGAAAAAGCCAATGAAAAGCCATTTACCAAACAAGCCCAATATATTATATCTTCTTAGATAATTTTTTTTTTTTTTTTTTTTTTGATAAATTTTGTTCAGTTTGTTCTCAACACCATTTCAAACAGTCCAAGAACCTTCGTCGTTATCAGCGCCATCACCATCAGGTAATAAGTAATATTGTTGCATCTATTATTTTTTAAAAAAACTTTCTATGCGATATACTTTGTAGCACATACACTATTCTTTATTTACGGAGTAGTAATAATCGCAGTACTTTTTTTTTTGTATTACTTGCAAAATTTCTTTATTTGCTAAGATTTCATAATAACCATTTTAATATATTTTTCTCTCCCACTCACCCAATTTAATTGCACAAATATTTTATTTTTTCAATAAACTAATAACCCTGCTTACAATGTTCTTTTTTGCAACAAAAAAAAATAGACCCGGTTCACTCCACCTTTTTCTTTTTCTTTTTTTTTTTTTTTTTTTTTTTTTTTTTTTGTTCACTTCACTTTTAAAAAATAATATTAAGTAAAAATTCCCCTTTTAGTCTCAGCTTTATAATTCTCCTAAAACATTGTGTAATAGGTAGTGTTTACAATTATTATGAAGCAGAGGGAATATATGTAGTGAAATTTTTGTATACAAGTAACACTACAAAGTTTTTTTTTTCTTTTCTTTAACACAAAGTTATAGAAAATATCCTTAATTAACAACAAACACTAAACTACCTACATTTATACTTACAAGCAAATCCTATGTCAATGACCTTATGGATATTGTGTTATGAATATAAGAATATCCATTGCACTTCCTTCACAAGTTTCTTATTTTGAACAAGATTTATTTATCATCCATAGAATGGGACTATTTCTTGAATTTTAATTAATATTTTTCGTACTATCAACTATCTTGCCTTTGTAGGAAAGAATAAAACATATGTAACGAAAGTAGTAGTTGCAATCGTTGTTCCAATAGTTGTGTTGACATTGCTAATTGCATCATGCACGTCTTATGCTCGCTGGAAGGTGATGAAGTCTCTCTCCATAGATATTCAAAATGGTAATCATCGAGTCTCTATTGTTATGAAGGTTAAAAATCATGTGCTGATCTAGTTTCTTATTGTACGTTGCGCTATCATAGTGCTTGAGGATTTCACGACTGCAGAGTCTTTGGTATACGAATTCAGCACCCTTCAAGCTGCAACAAATTACTTTTCAGATGATCAAATGCTTGGCGGAGGAGGATTTGGCAATGTCTATAAGGTAATGTAAACTAATCAGTTAAAGGTGGTCTAAATTGCTTTTAAGGTGTTAAAGTGGAGAAATATGGGAGAAAACGGCTTAGCCTTCTGTATTCTATTAATCACAAATATATACCAATATACAATAGAATACCTAACTTGCCTAAAACTCCTAAACAAGATAAACTTTCCAAATATACAATATTTAACATATATGAAAAACCAAACTCTAATATAAGGTAACATAAACTAATTGTTTTTGGCCTTAGGGAACCCTCCCAAATGGACAAGATATAGCAGTTAAAAGGTTATCGAGGGTCTCTAATCAAGGAATGGAATCGTTTAAGAACGAGGCTGTATTGATAGCTAAACTTCAACACAAAAATTTGGTTAAGCTTTTGGGATTTTGCTTAACAAGAGAGGAGAAGCTTCTTGTGTACGAATATGTTCCTAACAAAAGCCTCAACTATTTTCTATTTGGTATGTTAATTTTGAGATGCATTTTCACTTGTCTTTTAACTTGAAGTGCCATTAACTCAACTACATTAGATCATTATAGGTCTTTTGGTTTGTAGATGAGTATTCATTCTATTTGTAGATCCAAAAAAGCAAGGAGAATTAGATTGGCCTACGCGCTACAATATTATAACAGGTATAGCCCGAGGAATACTTTATCTACATGAAGACTCTCGACCTAGGATTGTTCACCGTGATCTAAAAGCAGCTAATATATTGCTTGAAGAAGATATGAACCCAAAAATTGCAGACTTTGGTTTGGCGAGGATCTTCAAAGTTGAACAAACAGAGGATGACACTAATATAGTAGCAGGAACATAGTAAGTTCTGGTTCTACTTTCTTGTCTTAGTTTTTCCGCTCCCTATCACAAAACCTAAGTCTAATAATTGCAATTTGTTGGCAATGTCTTTTAGTGGTTATATGGCCCCAGAATATGCAATGAATGGACAATTTTCTGTAAAATCAGACGTGTATGGCTTTGGCGTATTGGTATTAGAGATTGTAAGTGGCAAGAAGATCAATAGCAAATTCCACCCCTCTGGAGTAGGAGACCTCTTGACACATGTAAGTAAAATTATTATTTGATTTTTTTTTATTTTTTTTTTTCATTTTGAAATTGGATTTGATTTTAAGCATGTGAAAAATTTATTTACTACTATATGCCTCAATTATTATCTTCTAGGCCTGGAGAAGCTTGAAAGAAGAAACAACATTGAACTTTATGGATCCAACATTGAAAGACACATATTCGGCTGATGAAGTGATGAGAAGCATTCATTTAGGCTTATTATGTGTACAAGAGAATGCACATGAGAGACCAACCATGTCAACAATAGTCTTCATGCTCAATACAAACTCTACTACAAGTACACTTCCAACACCTCAACGCCCTCGATTTTATTACAATAGTAGTACAGAACCATCTTATATCATGACAAGGTCTAATAAAAATTCAACAGCAACATCATCCACCTCATGCGACTCAAAGCCATATACACAAAATCAAGTAACAATAAGTGAGATGAGTCCTAGGTAGATAGGGTATCTTGTACATCACTTTTGAGCAACAAAAATGATAATACAATTTGTTTCTCACACACATACAATTTCATATGCAATATTGTAATGATAATACAATTTGTCGCACATACAATTTCGAAAGGGTAAGGAAAAAGCACAGGAAGATATGGTCGTTATGAATCATTGGCGTTTTTTATTGTTGACACATCCTTCATCAATTTGATGCAACATTGTATTACTTTTTTCTTAGAAATAAAACAGATATCTATGTCGAAACCCATTGTAGCCCACTTGTGAGTATCCCATATTGGAGAAAGAGGAGAGGTGATTCCACTTTATAAGATAGAGGAGTTACTCCTACAATTGCCAATTGGTTTTAGTATAGAAGCTCCAAAGCCTTATTTATGGACGAAACTCTCCTCCTCCTTGTTCGGGTTGCCCTGGCCTATTTCATATTGTTTTGAAATTTAATAATCTATCTTTGGCGTTGAATTTGTTGTTTTTTTTATAAATAAAAATTGGTATAATACATGTTAATCTAAGCTTCATATAGTACAAGCTAGCATTCAGGAAAAATACAACCAAAGATATCCGGTATTAGAAAAACATATAAAAAAATAATTAAAAAAAATGACCATATATTAATAAAAATGTCAATATCAAACGCTTTCAATATACCCCATAACCCCAATACTTCAACAAAGTAGTTCAAAAGAACAATAACTATTTATTAATATCTCGTCAAGACTCAAGAATAATAGTTACTCGATCAAATGATTAATTAAATGTAACCCCACTACTGTCACTATCTATTGGACTACTTCTAGGAAAATTCCAATTCAACTGTAAACCAATCCGAAGTAATATCTATTCATTAATCAGCCTTGACTAATCCAAAATTTGACTCAATTAGTCGCTTACCCTTTGTTTACATCTCAAAAAATAAATGAAAAATAAATTTAAAAAATATGAAAATAATACCAATGTTTTTTTTTTTGAAAATAAATTTTAGAAATTGTTATTCCTGAAAAAAATATATTCATAGAAATTGTGTCTAAGTTGATGTAGAAAGTGTGTTTGACCCGTTTTCTTAAGTCAAGTAAACGAAATAAATAAAACCTTGTTAAACGTTTAAAATAGTAATTTAAGAAGCTAAGCTATGTGATCAACTCAATCATCCTAAAAAAAACCAAACAAACAAACAAACAAAAAGTTGTGAAAATGGCTCAAAAACTAGTCCGAGTTTCCCTAATCTTTATGATTAATATCTTAATGATGATTTCCAAATCTAATTCCGCTCCAAACTTATTGGCACAGTCATGCTCAAATACCACTATGTTCGCCAATAATAGCCAATTTCGAGCCAATCTTGATACACTATTCCGTTTACTCACCTCTAACGCTACCAACCCGACCGGCTTCCATCAAGCCGTGTCTGGCAGTGGAAACACCACAAACGAAGCCGTGTATGGCCAATTCCTCTGTCGCGGGGACCAAAATGTAAGCTCGTGTCAAGACTGTGTTACGACGGCCACTACCACTGACCTCCCTAAGACATATTGTCCTAACCGGAAAGATGCAATAATATGGTACGACGAGTGTATGGTTAGGTATTCCAACAAGTCATTTTTCGGTAGATTGGATACTACCCCTTCGTGGCTTTATTGGAGCTCGCATAATATATCTGGCAACACGACTAGGTTTATGGACCTGTTGAGCAACATGTTGAACAACGAGATTGGGGTAAGAGCTGCAACCGGCGGTTCACAAAAGAAATTTGCAACGTCTTTTGTGAATTATACGAGTTTTGAGACGATTTATGGGTTGGGGCAGTGTACGCCGGACTTAAGCCCTAGCGATTGTAATACGTGCTTAGTTGGCGCTGCTGGCGGGTTTAGAGAGACTCAAGGTGGAAGAGTGTTGCAACCTAGTTGTGTTGTTCGATATGAGGTTTATCCGTTTTTTAACATGTCATCGCTACCATCACCATCACCACCACAGTCGCAACCACAACCACCATCACCAACACCGAATTCTAACGTCTCTAGTGGTAAGTCCAATTATTATTTTTATATATGTCTCCTCGAACTCGTTACAACTTTTTAAAATTATAATTTGGTCGATTAAGTAACGACATATTGATTAAATTATAAGGTAATGTTTGATTTAAAATGCAGATCATACAAGTATTCAGTAAACAAATTTTGTAAAAGATTACTTTGTTTAAAATTAGTCAAACCATTCATACATAAAAAATGTTCATAAGTCCAAAAAAAAAAAAAAAAAAAAAAAAAAAAAAAAAAAAACTCATTTACGAGTAAGTTCCTAGTCACAAACCTAACCACCTAGGAATAGAAAATCAATTTATTTTTGGGCTTTTTGCGAGAAACTACCTTTTATAAGCAATTTTTTTTTGTGAGAAACTACCTAATAAAAAAAAATGTTATAGGAAACTACCTATTAAAATAAAATTGTTGTAAGAAACTACCTATTAAAGCAAAAAATGTTGTAAAAAACTATTATTCCTCGAATTTTCGTCTTTGACTAATTTCTCCGGCGTTGAGCATGTGCGGCCGGTCACATGATAGCTGGTATTATTGGTGGGGCATGGAAAAAAATAAAGGTGGTGGGGCATGGAAAAAAATAAAGGTTACAAAAGTTCATGTGATTGGCAAATAGGTGGTCAACGCCGGAAAAATTAGTTAACGATGAAAATACGGTGAAAGGGTAATTTTTTACTACATTTTCATTTTCATAGGTAGTTTTTTTACAACATTTTTTTTATTAGGTAGTTTCTCTCAAAAAATGTCTTTTAATAGGTAGTTTTTGACAAAAAGCCCTTTATTTTTTCCTCCATTGGAAGGGGAGCATCCTAATAAATATTCATGAGAAAAACTAATAAATTAATTATTTTTTGTAAATTAATTATTGTCTTTATATAGGCTGGCAAACATCCCGTTCAAAAAAAAAAAACATATAGGCTGGCAAACATAAAATGATAATGATACTCCCTAGTAAAATCATCATGTCCCAAGTACAACAAACAAGTTCTATTTTGTCAAGGCTTAGCCCAAACCAAAGCCCAATAAAGTGAGCTGTTATTAGCCCAATATGCCAATATTATGTTTCTTAAATTCATGTATAGAGAACATTAACACTATGCTTCGATATCTAGAAGTTTTCTATAGTTTACTGGTGCTACTGTCTATTAATCTATCTTTATTTTTACTTAATTTAAGTTTACTTTGATTTCAATGTTATCATTTTGTATTTTGATAAAAACTAAGTGCTTCATTTGTTTTTTAAGTTGCTACGCTTCTTTTACCACGTGTTATAAATGTAACATGTTTTTCATGCAGGGAGCAAAATTTCAACAAAGGCGATTATTGCCATTGTAGTTCCTATTGTGGCTGTTACAGTGGCATTACTTGTTATAGTCATTTGTTGTAGCACCAAATACAAGAAAACAAAGACCTATGACTCTGTTGCTGCTGAAACTGGTAGACAAAAATATGTATAATTATTTCGTCAATAATATGTATACTTTGCTGGTTAATTTATGATTTTTATGATGATGTTGAAGGTGATGATTTCACTACCGTCGAGTCCTTGCAATATGACTTAACAACGCTTCGATTAGCAACAAATAATTTTTCGGATGAGAAGAAATTGGGTGAAGGTGGATTTGGTGGTGTTTATAAGGTAAGACAACAATTGTCCTGATTATGTTAGTTTCTCTTAACCATTTCTAGCTGAAACTTATTACTCTCCTTTTACGAAGATAAAGAAACTTGTTATTAAGGGCCTGTTCTCATATTAACTCTATTAACTCTTTAACTATTAATTAAGCGCCGTTTTACCCTAAAAAAAGGGTCAAGTCTCATACGTTGAAATTCAGTTCAGCTCAGTTGAGTTCAGTTCAATTTAGCTGAGTTCAGTCAATGAGAACAAACCCTAAGAATGGGTTTAGTTTATGAATGGATTCATGATTGGCGTTAATAAATTAGCTTGAGTGATGGAGAAGAAATAATATAACGAACACAACCATAAAAATAAGGATTTTGTGTGTGATTGTGTGTGTGTGTCAACTAATTTGTGATATAGCATAAATAAACTTAACCATCATTGTGTCTTTCAAAAAAAAACTTAACCATCATTGTAAGTTTTCGGTTAAGTTGATCATTTAATATGATATTATATCCAACGTGACACTATTAAGCTTTTACATGGTTGATTTGGTCTTCTAACAATTTGAACCAAAAATAAGTTATTTGCAAGCAATACCAAGGCGGCTTAATAATCCGTAAAATAACAACTAATATTGTAGCATTACATAGCTTGGATGTAAAACACGCTATACTTATGTTAATGATGCAAAAAATTTCATGTTTTCGATAGGGTACACTACCAAACGGGCAACAAATAGCAGTGAAGAGGTTATCCATGAATTCTAGCCAAGGAATACAAGAATTCAAAAATGAGGTCTTATTAGTTGCCAAACTTCAGCACAGGAATTTGATTAGGCTATTGGGATTTTGTTTTGAAGGGCAAGAAAAGTTACTAGTATATGAATATGTGCCTAACAAGAGCCTTGACAAGTATCTTCACGGTACATTTAGTTTCAAAACCTATATATTTCTGTTCAAATTAAAGTTAAACTTTAGGCAAGGTGATAATGTAACATCGATTATCATTAACCAAATGTAATGTACAGATTCTGAAAGTCATGGAATTCTTGACTGGGTTACGCGTTACAAAATTATAGGAGGCATAGCACGAGGAATGTTATATCTCCATCATGATTCTCAACTAAAAATTATACATCGAGATCTTAAGGCAAGTAATGTCTTGTTAGATGCCGATATGAATGCCAAAGTTTCAGACTTTGGCATGGCAAGAATTTTTGTAGTGGATCAAACCCAAGACAACACAAGCAGGGTTGTTGGAACATAGTGAGTATCAAATCGAGTATAATTCCTAATTTTTACTTACGAGCCATTAGAATATAGATTAAAAAAATTGAATGCATATAGGTTAATGTTGGTTTGTGGTTTTTTGTGCAGTGGATACATGTCACCTGAATATGCAATGCAGGGTCAATTCTCAAATAAATCAGATGTTTATAGTTTTGGCGTCTTACTCTTGGAAATTATTAGTGGCAAGAGAAACAATACATTTTATGAACCCGGAGAAGCTATGGACCTTTTAAGTTATGTAAGTATTTTAATATTTTCTTATTGATAGTTGGGAAAAAATATATGATATGAGTAGCATTTCACAAGAATCTATTCAATTTATGCAGGCATGGAAACAATGGAGAGATGGCATGCCTTTAGAATTCGTTGATTCAACGATAAGAGACTCGTGCTCATTGGACGAAGTTATGAGATGCATACACCTTGGGTTGATATGTGTTCAAGAATCACCGGATGATAGACCTTCAATGGCAACAGTAGTCCTTACGTTAGACAGCTACTCGGTCACTCTTCCGGTGCCTGAAGCTCCAGGTTTCGTCATAAAGAGTAGAGTTTCCAAGGAGATTGGTTCACAACAATTATCGAGCAAGTCAGCACATTGGTCTAGCAATGATGTCTCAATCACTGAACTTGAACCTAGATAAATAATAGATAATTGAAAAGAGATTTTATAACCTTTCATAGTGGGCTTCAAACTTTCAATTACTGTGAATTGAAGTTGGTAAACAACATATTATGTCTAATTGATGTGTAATAATGTTGTACCACAAGTCGTGTTTCAATTTCTCTTGGTCATACTTTGAGCATTGATAGATGGTATACTCTGTTTATTTTCCAATAATAATATTAATAATTAATAATAGTGACCCGTATAATAAAGGAGAAACTCTTTTAACATAAATCTATAATAGTGATCCTAATTTTGATATAGTGACACTAATTAATATTTTTGTTAAACTTAGGTCTACAATAATGTGTCAGCCAATGTTACATTAAATATCGTGACTCTAATTTATAATGGCATTTATCATATTAGTTAATATATTAAAACTTTCATTATAACAAGCAATCCCTAGGTTATAATCTTGATAAACAAATTATGTTTATCAAATGACATTTTCGTAAATAAGTTGCATTGAAATTTGTGTTTTTTGTTTAAAAAATACGAAATATATTTTTACTGTTTGAGGGCCTGAAAATAGTATAGTGCACTCGGGTGCACCATGCGCCCGGAAAGAACATTAGACATATTTTAAAGAACATGGGAAAAAAAAAAGAACAAGTCTTTGAAAAAGAACATACCTGAGTTTGACAAAAGAACATGTTTGTGTTTGACAAGAATATGACATTACAAAGAACATAAAGTGTTTACTGAAAAAGAACATTATATTTGACAAAAAAGAACATGTTCGTGTTTGACAAAGATATAGGTGATCATTAGGCGGACCGGGCCAAGGTTAAAAAATCAGCTCACTTCTCGAGTCGGGCCAAGTTTTGGGCTGAAGTTTTTGTGCCCAAAATGGTCCGGTCGTGCGGGCTTTTCGTGTTGAGTTCGTATAAAAAAAATCAACTAAAATGCATAATAACGCAATCCCAAACCCGCCCAAAAATTTAAATTTACGGGCCGGGTCCGACCGAATTTGGGGGTGAAATTTTTTTGCCCAAAACCCGTCTAAAATCAAGTCAGGTCGGTCTAACTTTGATCACCTCTAACCAAATAACATAAAGTCTTTACAAAAAGAACATGATAATACAGTAAAGAACATGTTCTTTTTTCTAGTTACTCGGGTGATTGATTTTTTTTTTTTAATGTACATACATTAAAGATCATATTGTATAATATAAAGAACATATAGTTTAAACTCAAAGAACATATTAATCAAATTAAAAGAACATATTATGCTCACGTTCTTTATAAATATCTATAATGTTCTTTTTTTCGCCCACGTTCTTTTAAATATACCTAATGTTCGCATGGTGCACCCGGATGCACCAACCATACATTATTGAGGGCCACTATAACAAGTTGGACAGATTTTTGGAGTTAACAATGTTAACTCATTGTTTGTTACTATTCATCTTCTTCCTTCCACCTTTTCTCAAATCTTCAACCGGCAGCACCACTATAACTACCATCTGGTCCACCACCATCACATCAACCAACATCCGAAACCCATTAACCACCACCATTTGTCCACGTTTCACCGATCAAATCCATAAAAGCCTTCCTCTTCGTCTTCTTCGTCTCGTCGTTCTCCACTTCATTCTTTCCGTAGTCCTCCTCTTCTTCATCAACAATGGCCGCTTCGCGGCGAAACAAAAAGACACCCTACTAGAAAAGAGTGTAAATTAGATGCACATAAACCCCTTAAATAAATAAATAAAATAAGACCATATTAATACAAATGTATTATCAAGCGCTTTTAAAATAACCGATCCGAATACTTTGATATAGTAGTTGGAAAAGAATGATAACTATTTATTAATATCACGTCAAGAATATTATTAGTAATTCGATCAAATGATTCATTTAAATTTAACCCCACTAGTGTCACTATGTATTGGATTACTAGTCTACTACTAAGAAAATTCTAAGTCAACTGTATACCAACTATTCATGAATCAGCCTTGACTAATCCAAAATTTGGTTCAATTAGTCGCTTTCCCTGTGTTCACATCTCCAAAAATAAATAAATAAATATATATATGAAATAAATATAAAACAAAATTAAAACCCTTTTTTTTCTAGAGAAAATAAATTCGTAGTCTACAATTAATCTAGAAGGTGTGTTTGACCCGTCTTCTTAAGTCAAGTAAACGGAATAAATAAAACCTTATTATACGTTTTAAATAGTAATCCAAGAAGCTAAGCTATGTGATCAACCCAATTATCAAGGAGAAACTCTTTTAATTTACCATAAATCTATAATAGTGACCCTAATTTTGATATAGTGACACTAATTAATATTTTTGTTAAACTTAGGTCTACAATAATGTGCTAGCCAATGTTACATTAAATATGAGAGAGTGAGGGATAGCTCAAGTGGTTAGAGCTTTCCTCCCGGTTCCAGGAGATCTTGAGATCGATTCTCACCTCGCCCCTGTGGCTCTCTAAACACCAAAATAAAAACATTAAATATTGCGACGCTAATTTATAATGGCATTTATCATATTGGCCAATATATTAAAACTTTCATTATAACAAGCCCTAGGCTATAACCTTGATAAAAAAAATTGTTTATCAAATGACATTTTCATAAATAAGTTTCATTGAATTGTGTTTTTGATTAAAAAATATATTTTTCCTGTTTGTGGGCCACAATAACAAGTTGGACAGATTTTTTGGAGTTAACTATGTTAACTCACTGTTTGTCATTATTCATCTTCTTCCTCCCACCTTTTTCTGAAATCTTCAACCGGCAGCACCACCATAGCCAGCATCTAGTCCACCACCATCACATCGACCAACATTCGAAACCCATCATAACCACCACCATCTGTCCGCGTTTCGCCGATCAAACCCACAAAAGTCTTCCTCTTAATTCGTCTGCTTCGTCCCGTCGTCTTACACTTCTTCCCGTAGTCCTCCTCTTCTTCATCAACAATGGCCACTTCCCGGCGAAACAAAAAGACACCCTACTATAAAAAGTGTAAATTAGGGGCATATCAAACCCTTAGGGAAAGCCTTTCATTTACGATAGCATTTTTAACTGCCATAGGTGGTGGTGCTGTGGAGAAAGAAGTGGTTTATGGGTTTGGGACTTTGGGTTTCAAATTTCCACCATTGAAATTGAAAATTGAAGGAGGAGAGAGAAAACAACAAAAAGTTGAAAGAGGAAAGAGAAAAAAAAATATACCAAAAGCTTGAAGGATAAGAGAGAAAATAACAGTTTATTAACCAAAAGTTTAATATAATATACATATACACTCCTTGATAAACAATTTTTGTTTATCAAAGTTATAAACTTGTATTTTCTCCATTATAACTAAATAAATAAAAACTCTTATGAACTTTCTTATAACACAATGACTTTCATATTAACATAAAATCTTTTTTTTTCAACATAGTTATGTTATATTATTATATTAATATAACAACCTAAATTCAAGTAGCAGCATTTAATGAAATTTCTACGAACGTCATCCTTAAAATTACTATCATTATACTAATTTGTTACGTTTGATTTTATTTATATTATGTCAAAATTAATTATAAATGTTTTTTTCTAACTCTAAATGTCTTTATTTTTATTTTTTTATAATTAATTTATGAATTATTTGTTAATTTCGTTAATATTAAAACTGAAATTTGTGAATTGGTTAGGAAAATTATACAAAAATAGAAAATTATTTCAAAAGAAATTAATGAATTTTATAAATTAAATAAATGATTTATAATTAATTTTGAAACAAAAATAAATAAATCAAAAGCAATTTGACATCAGTTTTGGTTTTCAGTTTTATGTTTTTTTGAAAACCAAAAACCAAAAACAGGAAACAAGAAAAAGGTGTTTCCACTTTTCTGTTGTCAGTTTTCAAAATTATCATAATTTTAATAAGTTTATATAATTTTTGATTCATTATGGGACTCATATTATATACTTTTAGAAAACAAAAAAACATAAAACCACAGTAATGCCAAACGAACCCTAAAATATTAGTGTAATGGTAGTCATTTATTTTAATGATGAATACCATAGAATCATAACATTTAAACATAGAGATTTTTAGAGAGATTATAGGAAAGTAAATCATCAATTCAATTCTATAAAATAGGATTCAACTGAAGGAAACAAATAATAATTAAAATGATAATGATTATCAAAATTATTTAAGGAAATACAACTCTACAAGGTAATGTACAACAAGCTCATGATATGCTATATTTGACTATGTGATTGTTGTGATTGAGGATCATCATAGTGACGATAATTCTATTGTTCTTAATTTCTTTTTTAATTAATGTAAAAATATCTCCTAGTTTGATTAAAAGCACACCTATAAATGTGATACTTAGCATTCCAACAACTAACAAGAAGTTAAGTTGTTATTATGGACCCAAATCTTGTGATAAATTGCTCTAATAATAGTAAAGTATTGTGCTTGTTACTTGTCATCCCAACAACAACAAAAAATAAAAGATCATTCATAGATTTTATCAAACCCCTCTTTCTTCTTTCTGATTTAGGAGAAAATAAATAATTAAACGAGTTCTTTTGAATCAAAAACTAAAGAAAGAGGGGGAAAGCAAATAAATACCATCACCAAAATAATTGTTCATTATTTTTTTTTTTTATTTTTTTTTTGGTTTGTTTTTGTTTTTCCGCCTAAGCTCCAAATTTATGGTCATAGTATTCATGATTGTAAATTTGTGACATGCAATATTATATTCATTTTAATGGTCCTGGTGATAAGCCTCATCAAGCTAGCAAGATGTTGCAGTACAAATGTGAATTGTCCTATCCATTAAAGGACAATTAAAATAAAGTGTTTTGTATCTCCTAAACAATTAACAAGAAGTTAAGTTGTTATTATGGACCCAAATCTTGTGATAAATGGCTCTAGTGTGATATATCATCATAAAGAAGTTGTTGAGATATACTGTCAAAGAAATGTTGGAAGTAATGCCTTCTCAATATTTCATGGCAATCACAATAAGGAGTTCTCCTTCTCCAATGTACTCTTAGAAATGTCTATGGTTCTTCTTATTAGCCATATTTTGCGCGTTCTATTAAAACCTCTAAAACAGCCTAAAGTCATCTGTGATATTCTAGTAAGTTTATGTTTTATCTTATTTTTTAAAATTTAAAGAGGTAAGTCTTTTTTATTTAAGGTTGTAACAAATGTATACATAAAAGAGATTTATTTTTTTTTTTTAT